CCAGTTTTTTGAACGATTGTCTCGAGAACTGCGGAGAAAAGCACGCTTGGGTGTCCTTTTCAGGATACTCTAAAAAGCCTTGCCAGACTCTGCAGGGAACGAGCAATCAATTGCCGCCCGACTTACCAGCCTCAGCCACACGAAACCATGGCCCGTGGTAAGAAGAATCCGGTCCAGCGCCGGGACACCAGGGCAACCTCAGCCAACAAGGAGGAAGCACCTATCGCCGCACCAGAACTGGCGATGCCAGAACCGGTCGACGACCCGGAGGAGACACCAGCCCAGACGCCGCCAGCCTTAGATGTAGGCCCTATCGAGGCACCCATCTACCCAGAAGCCGCCCCAGTCGTGGCGCAGGGAGCCACCGACACCCGACCACTAAGACAGCAGCATCAGCGACCGGGCGCCCACGACACAGAAATCCTGCAGTGCTCACGCTGCAACAAGGCGTGGCACACAGCCGCAGCATGCCGCGGCAGCCCATCGTGCAGGTACTGCTCCAAGCCGCACGACTTTAAGGAATGCCCCTTGGCCAAGATGGACACGGACTTCCGAAAGCCCAACGCCAGCCGGAGATGCTCCAATTAGGCAGGAGCACACAGTGCGAGATACATGGGGTGCCCGTATCTAAAAGAATGCAGGAGAACTATGTTGACAAACACCACCAGCAGAGTAACCACCCACCCAGAAGCAAAAAAGAGATACGAGGCACCCATCTCAACCAGAAATCACGGAGAAACAAGACTAGTCGCCACCACTGAAATAGCGAAACTCCGGAGCGAGCTAGCACTGATGAAGACCGAGATCGAAGCCCTCAAGAAAGACAAAGCAGAGACCGACCGAAAAAGAACCGAGGAAAGAGACGAAATATCCACCCTCCGAGGCATCCTGCAAGAAGTGCTAGAAAATCAGAAGCGACTGAAAGTAGGGGTGACCGACTTAACAGATTTTAAGGTAAACGCAATAGCCCTGCTAGCTGAAACCAAGAAGCAGAGCAAACAAAACGCAGCGGAGGAGACCAGACGCGCAGAACAGCAGAATACAATCACCTCACTCCTATCCGATGTCGCCAGTCTCAAGAAGGATTTAACAGAAACCGCAGAAAAGCTAACGAGATCAAGCGACGAATGCACCAAACTGAGAACAGCAATCCAAGCAACAAGCAAAACCGTCAACGGCATAGTAAAAGCCAAGAAAGAAAAGGAAAGGAAAAAGCAGGAGATGATTGAAACCTACGAGAGCATGTGGAGAGAAGAAGAAGAACAAGAAAAGGCAGCAGCAAAAGCCCAGGAGGAGGAAGACAGAATAGCAATGCAGGCAGCAGACAAAGAAGAAGCAAAGATACTGGCAGCAGAAAACCTAGCCAAACAAACGAAAGCCAAAGAAGCGCTCAAGAAAGTAACCGCCAGCAAACCGTTTACATTCGAGTACAAACGGCCCACCTACTACGACAGCCCATAAACAAGCCGCCATGACAGCTGAACAAACACCGCCCACCAGCCGGAGAAACCTGACAGCACAGAACCAGACGACACGATGTCCGCCGCCAAAGCCACTCCCACCTCTACCCGATCCAGGCCGTCCAAAGGCTATGGTCCGCCCTTTTTAGGGCATACCGAGATCCCTTACCTCACCCTGACAACAGCAACAAAACCTCAGGCGTAATACGATCGCCGCACAGAAACGACAATAACTGGAGAACAAACTCCAGGCAACAAAACACCGCTTCGATATAACCAACGCTCAGTATAGGAGCCGGTTGAAAGAGGCAAGAAGTTTTTCGTTTTTTTTTACCAACACCAGTTACCAGTTACCAAGCCAGGGTGGGGCTTCAAACAACGAAAAATTGCATCCCACACGGGGATGACTATAACATAATTTTAGAACTATTCATTAGTAGTAGTAAGTACATTTTACCCAATTAGGACATCACACAAGTGAAAAACACCAGATGACACAAAGTGCCACCATGTGGATGAGGACCACCCGTGGAGAGGTCCCGGAAACCGCATTCAGCCATTAGGCCATTTTTATGGCTGGGCTATATTGCAGCACCAGGTTGGGGCTTCAAAAATAACGAAAAATTGCATCCCACAAGAGGATGGCTATGATTAGCTATTCATTAATAGAATGTTTTTTCATATAGAGGGAGGGGGTGAGGTTTACACCCAGATATTTTGTCAGCTTACACACACTTAGTGTTACACTGACTTCTGTTGTATTGTTTAATTAACCCCCAGCACCCATTTTATTTTACACAAGCGCTTGCCTGGCTTGAAACACAAAAATACACCCGCGTGTGTATACTCAGTTATTCAATGAGTATGATCCGGAGGGTTCAGGCAGGTTCAGTGCGAAGACAATGGCTTGAATCATTACAGAAGTCCACTGTTCGTGGAGTCACCTTTATTTTTGTTCCGGGACACGCAGGCGTCGATGGAAATGAAAGAGCTGACAGGTTGGCTGGATCCGCTATCACTACCGACGGTCAGCCTATGGATCATGCTGATATTATCAATGCCCTCAGAGAAATGGGAAGAATAGAGGACTTTGGTGGCAGTGAATCCACATCACTCGCCAGAATGGCAGACTTGGGAATTAAGATCGGCACAGCAAAAAACGAGGCGCACACCAGCTACGCCAGAAGACTTGTTAATCAACATAGAACTGGTACTATTAGCCATCGGACGTTGGGGTTCATACTGAGGGGAGGATCTGAGCACCTATGGACATGTCCGGAGTGCAATGAGGATAACCCAACTAACTAACTAACTAACTAACTAACTAACCCATTTTATGAGGCTTGTAAACCCCAGAATTTAGTTGTAGAGGTAAAATCCTACCTGCTGGAAAAAAAAAAAAAATATGCATTCTCACCATTATGATTTCTTTCTTAGAGTAGCTTCCCTTTATTATAAAAACCAGGCAGCTTTGCTGAATGAAACATAATCAGTAGACATATACTTCATATGTGTTCTTTTATCATCCTTATCAAAATTCACCATGTGGCTTCCAGGGCCCATTGTGGGGGGGGGGGGGGGGGAAAAGAATAGACCCACTGCCCATAAGCGTGCCGTAAGAGTGGACTAATTGGGAGCTTCCTTCTAAGTCGGAGTGCATCTGCCTGAGAGGCAAATAACAAACAATCTGCATGCACATGAGTCAGACTTGTGCAACGGATGCACATGCAACACTCAATTCTGGAAAGTACTAGAGTCCAGAAGTGGACAAACATCCAGGATTTTGCGCTGGAGTTTACAGCCGGTGAATGCAAAGAAGAAGAAGAAAAATTCATATGAGCATTTTTATGTTTTATATTAGAAACATCTATTATGTTATTTAATTAACATATAGCATCTATCTTCTTAGTCTGGGCCACCCCCAGAACTGTACTTATGGGGATCATTTTCTTACTGTTTAATAGAAACATCTGTTGTGTTGTTTAATAAACATGTGACATACTAAAAAAATATTTTTAAAAAAAACAAGAACTCTAACCACCATGATATTTTTTAAGGGTAGCTTCCCTTTATTATGAAGGTTAATCAGCCATGTTGAACAGACTCAGTAAAATCTAATGTTCCAGTAAAATTTGTATCAAAATTAAAGACACTGTGTGAACATTTTTATTATATTTTATATTGGAATTATCCAGCCTACATTATGTTTTAAGACTATTTGTTTGTAACATTATTTTATGTGTTCATAATCTTTGTAAGATTATGTTTTTAGATCTATTCATTTATTATTGTTTTATCTGTTTCATTACTGACTTTTTATAACCTCTCATTGGTTGTTGTAATTTTCTATTTGTAACCCTTTTGTGTGTTTTAGAGCTGCCATTTTATGATCTGATATTTTGTTTTCATAACCTTCTTTTTAGAACCTCTGATTGTTTCTATAACCCTTTTTTTTCAATGTTTGATATACCTTTGGATTATATCATTATTTCTCTTCTCTGTTATAACTTTGATATATGTTATAACTGTACTATATGTTATAACATAAATATTCTAACCTTTAGTTATGCATTAGTTAACTGCATGTTCAGAATACACAGATTTGAAAGCTCAGCCCGTTCTCACTGGCCTATGAGTTACTTCATAATCATTATGATAGCTATCAGATGCCCTAAAATGACTGTAATTTGGATGAACAGGATTTTTGGAGATTAGCTCCTATTGGAGTCTCATCAAAGTAATGTCTCTTTGGCTCTTTGAGCCTGAAGATTTTATTTTTGCCTGTGATGAAATAAATCCATGAACTTACAGTGGATTCAAACCTGGGTCTCTCTTTGAAAGTCCAGTGTTCCTAACTATTCAGCCAGCCACTCCTCTTTGAGTCAGTAAGTGGTAATCTTTCAGAAACAAATCTTAGAAAGGACGAATAAAAAAAATAACAATGTTATCTGAAAACTTATGATTGTTCGCTTTAAACCTTTCACCACAGTGTCCTAGACAAAATAAAAGCAAGCTTCCTTATTTTAATTCTTTCAGAAATTCTTTGCAAAAGGAGAGAGAAAGGGGGGGGGGGGGGGGGGGGGGGGGGGGGGGGGGTTTGAAAAATAACCGTTTTACAAATGTCACACAAGCACATCCTACAAAATCAATTTACAGTGCCCACCATGAGCAGATACTATAGAAAGTAAAGGAAGTAATTGTTAAAAGCAAAAGCAGCACAGAGTCAACTGGCTTACATTCCTTGTGGTCTGTATACTAATTATACTGTGGCACTTTAGGAGCGAGGGAACAATGTTGAGGCACAGATAGATCATTAAGGTCTGAGGAGAACGGCGTTGTGAGGAGTTACCAGGAGATCTGGCCGAAGCTCAACACTCAAGGAGAAGAATATACAATCAAAGAGTTACTGGTGCCATCAGAATTTGAACTTTTCACTTGCTGCTGAAGATGAGGACAGAGCACTTATGGGAGTGTCCCAAGTGTTATGATGTTGATTGTTAATTCAACATGTGTAAATGTTGTATGTTTGTCGTCTCATAGGGTGTCCATCAAACACATCCTGACCTGGTTTAGCCAGCTGACAGAGCATGTCAAGTGGACATACCTGACTTTGATCAGTTTGGTAAGTGTCAACATCACCACCATCATCATTACCATCATCATCATCACAGTTCTGTGTATCATTATCTTTGCCGCAATCATTTTCATTATCTTTATCACGATCCCAGTCACCTTTACAGTAGTCATTATCACAATGATGATCATCATCTCTTTTTCACAACCATGTTCATCATCATCGCTTTATCACAGTCATATTCATCATCATCTCTCTGTTACAGTCCTTTTCATCATATCTTTATCACAATCCTATTTATTCAGTATCATCTCTTTTTTACAATCCTGCTCATCATCATCTTTATCACAGTCCTAATCATCATCATTTCTTTATCACAGTCCAAATCATCATCACTTCTTTATCACACGCCTGTTCACCATCATCATCATTATCACAATCCTGGTAGCCATTATCATTGCCACCACCTTTACCAGTATTGTTACCACCACTACTAGTATCATTACCACCACCACTACCAGTATCACTACCACCACCACTACCAGTATCATTACCACCACCACTACCAGTATCATTACCACCACCACTACTACCAGTATCATTACCACCCCCACTACCAGTATCATTATCACACCCACTATCAGTATCATTACCAACACTAACAGTATTATTACCACCACTACCAGTATCATTACCACCACCACTAGCAGTATTATTACCACCACTACTATCAGTATCATTATCACCACCACTACCAGTATCATTACCACCACCACTACCAGTATCATTACCACCACTACCAGTATCATTACCACCACTACCAGTATCATTACCACCACCACTACCAGTATCATTACCACCACCACTACCAGTATCATTACCACAACTACTAGTAGTATCATTACCACCACTACCAGTATCATTGCCACCACCACCACTACCAGTATCATTACCACAACCACTACCAGTATCATTACTACCACCACTAGCAGTATCATTACCACCACCACTACCAGTATCATTACCACTACCAGTATCATCACTACCACCACTTCCAGTATCATTACTACCACCACCACTACCAGTATCATTACCACTACCAGTAGTAGTATCATTACCACCACTACCAGTATCATTACCACCACTACCAGTATCATTACCACAACTATCAGTATCATTACCACCACTACTAGTATCATTACCACCACCACTACCAGTATCATTACCACAACCACTAGTAGTATCATTACCACCACTACCAGTATCATTGCCACCACTACCAGTATCATTACCACAGCCAACACCAGTATCATTACTACCACCACTAGCAGTATCATTACCACCACCACTGCCAGTATCATTACCACCACCACTACCAGTATCATTACTACCACCACTTCCAGTATCATTAATACCACCACCACTACCAGTATCATTACCACCACTACCGGTATCATTACCACTACCAGTATCATTACCACTACCAGTATCATTACCACTACCAGTATCATTACTACTACCAGTATCATTATCACCACTACCAAGATCATTACCACCACTACTACAGCTAGTATCATTACTACCACCACTAGCAGTATCATAACCACTACCACTACTACCAGTATCATTGCCACCACTACCTCCATCATCATCATGACTTCAATCACTGCTATAACTATCATCATGCCTCTTTATCATTTTTTTTTAAATTCCATTTCCATACTGTAAAACATACAGGGTTATACGGTGTTGGATATGTGTGTATAATACGGGACCAGGTCTGACCTAATGGAGAATGTGATGTTTTTTAATTATTAGTAATAATTATTAATGTTCTATTAATATTGTCTTTGTTATTATTATTATTATTATTTCATTATTACTAATATTAATATGTAATCATTACTATTGACCATATATTATTGTTAAATAATATAAAAGCATTTTGTAATTTTGCCTTGTGTCTTTTATGTTCATTTTAATTGTTTCGCATTTCAATTTGTTTCTTTTTTTAAACAACATTTCATGTATTTTAATTATACTTTTTATATCGATTTATGTTACTGTTATTGCATCTGTAACTGTTATTGTTAACGAAATATTGTATCATGTCTGTCTAAAAAAGATCAAAACCTTTTCTTGAATTTAAAAACAAAAATAATGTCCACAGGCAAAACTGGCTGTCACCAAAAAATAACAATAAATGATGAAGAAATTGAAAATGCCACAAACTTTGAATATCTAGGCTCCATAATAAATAGCAATGGAGACTATTTGAAAGAAATCAGAAGAAATGTTGAATTAAGAATTGACATCACAGCTCTCTGGACACCTCCATAAGTGCTCTGTCGCTATCTTCAGCAGCAAGTGAAAAGTTCCAATTCCGATGGCACCAGTAACTCTCTGATTTTATATCTGTCTCGCCTTTCGCCTGAGTGTTAAGCACCGGCCAGATCTGGTTGTAACTCCTCGCAGTGCCATTCTCCTCAGACCGCAATGATCTATCTGTGCCTCCGCACTATTCAATCACTCCCAACCAGCCCTCACAACATCCAGCTTGTATACATCATTTCACCACAAGCAGCGCAGAGCCCGCCAATCTGTCTGCCTGCTCATTTCCCACCACACCAGGAGAAATCAAAAGGAGTATGGCCATTGCAAAGATTAAACAGCATGATAAGTCTTTAGTTGGGCATCAACAAAGAAATAAAAATTAAAAATTTGAGAGCTTGCGAAAGACCGAGTCTCCTTCAAGCAGACCGCGATGAGAATTACATTCTGCTGAGAATGACATTCTGCAAAGGACCTGCTACATGATGATGAACTGTTATTATATCTTGTAATTGTTAATTGTTCCATTTTTCTGTTTGACATTATAGAAGTTAAAGTTGCCAGATAAGGTGGATGTCGGACATTTTTGCAGTTTGGTTAATGAAATAATGAAGCCAAATCCAGCTGTAAGTATAGGATATTTGTTGCTTTCAGTACTAATTGATTCACTGTTCTGTTGTGCCATTTTTTTTTCACATAGGTCTTGCAGTTTATTTATCCATTCCATTTTATCCTGTGCAGTATCTTCAATATCATGGATTGACTCCATTCCAGCAGCTTTGGCTTCTTTCATCAACATCCATCTTAGAGTTTCTCTTTGACATCCTTGTTTCCTCAGTTCCTCTATTTCCCATTTCAGTGCCTGTTCGGTAATTCTCGGTCTTTTCTCAGAATATTTCCAATGTAGCGCCATCTTCTCTGTTTTATAACTGTTGATAAAACTGGTTTTCCATATATTTCTCTTATTTCTTCACCCCTGTGTTATGAATTATGATTTGGGTTATCTACACAGCACTCCGGACACGTCCATAGGTGCTCAGTGTACCATGGTTGATGGTCCCAGGCCTATGTTGGTTGATAAGACTTCTCGTGCGTCTGATGCGTTCTCGTGCCTGGCTGTGCCGATCTTTACTCCTAATTCTTGCACTCTTAGCAAAGAAGTAGATGTGCTGCTTCCAAAATCCTCCTAACGTCCTACCACTCTATTGGCATTAACAGTGTCAGCATAATCAGTGATTCGGCCCTATGTAACTAAAGCAGAGCCGGCTAATCTGTCGGCTCTTTCACTGCCAACAACACCTGCATGACCTGGGACAAAGATGAGGTTACTGTACGCACAGTGGAGTTTTGCAGTGACTCGATCCACTGTCTGTGTACAAAGACTGCCTCAACCCGCCAGATCATACTCATGGAATCACTCAACACACACGTGAGAATAGTCCTGCAATGCTAGCCACATCTTTACCCCTATTGAATTCATCCCATTTTATGTTTATCATGTTACCCAGGCATTTGTTTTTGAATGCATTTAACTTTTGTTCCAGGAATTAAAATTGGTGGTTTTAATATTTCTAATCATCTTTGGTTTTTATCTTAACAGACTGAGAAATTATTAAAGAAATTTGGTCAACCACTGGGCGATGGTAATAGGTAAGACAGTTTGAATTCAATTATTTTCATTTGTAAATCAGAAATTGTTTTCAGTATGAAGTTAATGTTTACTGATGTTCATCTATCGCTCGATGTTATCCTCCCACTTGAATCGCTGTTTATCTCTTGCTGACTTGGCAAATCTGAAAAAGTCAGTACAGAACTAGTCATCATAATGTATCAGGTCCTCTATAAAACATTACTCTCATCATGGTCTGCCTGAAAGAAACTCAGTCTCTCGTCAGCTCTCCCGCCTCATGTTTCATATTCAAGGAGTCAATTTTATCCTGTGCCCATCTTCGTGTTGGTTGGCCCCTGCCTCTCCTTCCTAGTACCATGCCTTCTGTTATTATTTGTTCCTATCTGCCGTGGCGCTTGATATGATCAAAATATTTCAGTGTGTGATGAGGTGCTTTGCATGGTCTCCACGCACACAGAGAGCAAAGCGGAAAATCAGTGCTACAAGTGACAGCACGAGCTACTTGTGGCTGGTCGAGTTAGCGAGGGGAAGCCCAAGCTAGACTCGTGGTCAGTTGATCATCAGAAGTCATAGAAGACGGTTGTATTAATAGAAGATGCAGTCCCTATGTCGTGCGTGTGACCAGTATTTGAAGATCTCGCGATCGATAGAAGTATGAATAATTGTTGAAGAATGTGGAATAAATGTATCTGAATAAACTGATAGTATGTAAAAGAAAGCCTAGTGGCGTTTGTGTTATCAACCCCAGACGTTCAAGCAGTACAAGTTATGTTGTAGTAATCATAGAGAGTGAATCGTGGCGAAAGCCAATGTGTAGTGAGCCAAGGTACATTTCAAGTGTCGTATCATTTCAAGGTTCATTCCAAGTTAGTTGAAACCCCCCCCCCCCCCCCCCTGTGTGGGTTCCGGGGCCCCATTGTGGGGAAAACAAGAATAGACCCACTGCCTCCCCAAAAGCATGTCGTAAGAGTCGACTAATTGGGAAGCTTCCTTTGAAGTCGGAGTGCATCTGCCGGAGAGGCAAGGAACCAACAGTCTGTATTCAAGAGAATGAGATCTGTAAAACTGATGCACACGCAACACTCAGGTTCTGGAGCAGGACTGCAGTTCAGTAGTGGACGAGCAACCAGAACCTTCCGCCAGAGTTTACAGCTGGTGAACGCGAAGAAGAAGAAGAAGTTGAAAACCAAGACTTATTCCAAGTCACGGAACAAACCACGCTTCATTCCACAGTGCTGAATTAAATAAAAAGTAAATAAAATGATTTCCCTGCTTTGAGAACCTTATGATATTAGACCAGTACAAAAAAAACAAGCGTATATAAAAATAAAAGTGGGATGTAAAACCATAATTTTCTTCTAGTCTTTTCTCCCGGAATGCCTCAAAGCATCAGGGCAGGAAGAGATCTCTGGAAGGTGCCCTTTTGTTTGCTTCATATTTAGTACTTTTCAGTGTCTTTGATATTTCTGTGGTCCATCTTCTGCATGGTGGACCTCTGATTCTGTTACCATGTATATGTATAGCATTGCTATCTTTGGTGCCCTGTCTTGTTACATGGCCAATTCATTTGATTTGTTGTCTACCGTTAAAGTTTAGTACAGTCGAGTCTGGATAAGTAGAAGTCGCAGGGACCTAAGAAAATGCTTCCACTTATCATGATTTCTACTTATCCAGACAGCTACCACAATAGAGAAAATTGCCGGGACTAAGCTGGTCATGTTGACTTAATCGAAACTCAACTTATCTGAGTTTGACTTAAGTGGACGGACACAACTGTATTGGTTCTGTGCCGACTCTCCTTCTGATATCATCGTTCCTAAGTCGATCTTTCCTCGTATTACCTAGCATAGTATGTAAACATTTCATTTCTGTAGTGACTATTTTTCTTCTGTCTTTCGAAGACAGTGTACATGTTTGACACTGATAGCATAGCGTTGGTAAGAATATAATTTACTAAGAATAATGTCAAAAGACAGCTCTGAAGAAACTCTGAATTAGTATCAAGTGTTTAAGGTATAGGTGGCCAGTAGAGAGTTGAGTTGGGTTGATTCAAGAACCGATATCACAACGCTCAGGGCATTTCCATAAGTGCTCTGTCACCATCTTCAGCATTACTGTGAAAAGAGTTCCAATTCAGATGGTACCACTAGCAGTGTGATTGTATATCTGTCTCACCTTCCCCTTGAACTTACAGAGCATGTTGATAAAGCTGGAGACAGGCATGCTTCATGCAGAGTGGCAAGCCTCACTTCAGAGGTCCCCTGTAGTTTGCATCCTTTGGATATTTTCTCCAGGTCATGCCGGTGTGTTGGGAAATGAGCAGGTAGATAGACTGGCTGGCTCTGCACCACTTTGTGGGGAATCGATGTATGACAAGTTAGATTTTGTGAGGGCCCTTTGGAAGCGAGTGAACAGTGCAGAGATACAGATAGATCATTACCATCTAAGGAGAATGGCGCTGCGAAGAGTTACCAGGGGATTAACACTCAGGGGAAGGATGAGATGGATATATAATCAGATGATTACTGGTACCATCAGAACTGGAACACTTTTCTTGCTGCTGAATATGGGAACTGAGCACTTATGGGAGTGTCCAAAGTGCTGTAATGTCACTCAATTCAGCATTCAACATTCAATCTTTTGCTTGAGTGTTAATTTAATTTATTAAATTTCATTTAAAATATTTACTTACCTCAACAGATCCATGCCCCTGACCTGTTTTGAGGCCTTCTTGATGAAAGAGCAAAATGTACGTTCAGCAGAGACTGCATGTTTGTTTGATTTCATATTCATGTGTTCATATTCATGTGATGTTTATCATATCTTTGTGTGCTGTCTGTCATAGCTTTATGTGCTATTTGTCATAGCTTTATGTGCTGTTTATTGATACACTATTTATTGTTGCTTTAAGTGCTGTTTTTCATAGCTTTGTATGCTCTTTGTCATAGCTTTATGTGCTATTTATCATAAATGTATGCACTGTGTATTGATGCACTACTTATTGTTGCTTTAAGTGCTGTTTATCATTGCTTTAAGTGCTATTTATCATAGCTTTATGAGCCATTTATAAAAGCTTTACATGCTGTTCATCACAGCTTTATGTGCTAAATATCATAGCTTTATGTGCTATTTATCACAGCTTCAAGGGCTATTTATTGTAGTTTTATGTACTTTTTATCTCAGCTTTATGTGCTGCTTATCTCAGCTTTATGTACTATTTATCGTAGTCTGATGTTTTGTTTATAATAGCTTTATGTGCTTTCAAAATTTTTTGTTAATGCTTTTATAATCGCTTTATGTGCTGTATATCATAGCTTTGTGTGCTATTAACATAGCCTAATGTGCTGTTTATCATATCTTTATTTACTGTTTAGCATATGTTTATGTTCTGTGAATCTTTCTTACAGGAAGAGGAGAATTCTGCAGCTGTCGTAGAGAAAATGTTGTCGTGCCTTCCGTTAACTCAAAGAATTTCCACTGAGAGTCCACAATTTCTGGCGACAGAGGTGAGTTTAGTGAAAAGATGTTATCAAACGTCTCCTCCTTCTTCTCCTTCTTCTTTTTCTTCATCTTTTTCTTCTTCTTTTTCTTCTTCTTCTTTTTTTTCTTCTTCTTCTTCTGCCCTGTATCCCCCAGTTGAGCATAGGCATTTCCTCCATGTTGTCCTACTCGTTACCATCGTGTGTCCGGCTACCAATGTCCTCCCCAATTTGTTCACCTGTTTTCTAACTACCTTCTTACAAAAATACTAATCTGTTTCTGCAACGACAGAAGCCATAGTTAGGTCTAAATTTCTACGTCCTCACGGAACCTGACTTTCATTTTAAATGACCTTAGCTCCCAGGTCAACCTAGTCTAAAATGGGTGCCAGGTAAAGTCATGGGAAGTAAAAGCGGCTTGTGTGATGTTAACATATCACCAGCCGAGTGCTGATTGGTCTATAAAATATAGGTCTTGCCCTATATTTCCAAGACCGCTGAAATCATGGGAAAGGGTTCTTTACTTTATATTTTTTAATTAATTTTTTTTTCCCAGTAGTTCCAGTAGTGAGGTACAAGACCAATCCTATTCTAACCCCACCTGTTAAACAGCTCGTTTCTCCGTACATCAAATTTAATTGTATTTACCATTTTACATATAAGTACCAGTTCACTTACATCGGTCGAACGGAGAGACAGCTTGGAAAAAGAGTGGCAGAGCACATACCCAAATGGCTACATACACAGCTCAGTGATTCTTCTAGAGTGTCGAGACCAGTCAAGAGGAAAGAAGCCACTTCTTTCATAGGATGTCATCTACTTAATTCCGGACACATAATTGACATCGACAGTGCTTTCCGTGTGGTTTACCACACTCCGAACAGGAGACTTTTGATAATCGCTGAAGCTTTAACAATAAAAATCAACAGCCCACTCCTTTGTAAGCAGACAGAATTTCACGTAAATTTGAAGTTACCCTGGTAAGTCACGTGACTATGGTGAGCTTCCGGCGGCCATGAAACACACACAATGTATCGGAGGAAAATATTAGATACAGCGAAATATGCCTGGCAATAAATTGTGCAATGTATTGTTTGTATCCGCATATCTAAAAAAAAATTTTTTAGTTGAAAATTTAATTGCCAATTAATGTAAAGAAATGATGTTGTTGCAGTTTGAGGACTACCTGTTTTCACCACTGAACTCAATAGTTAAACCCATTGAATCAACAGTTCACCACAACATGGACTTCTCTCTCAGTGACTACTGGATAGCTTCATCCCATAACACGTAAGGGTTGACATGTTCTTCTTGTTTACACACAGAAATTCTTAGATTATCTTCTCTTGTCTACAATTTATAAACAGATTTTACCTAAATTCTATTCTTCGTCTGTTCTCCGCATTCACCGGCTGTAAACTCTGGCAGATAGTTCTGGGTGTTCGTCCACCTCCGGACTTTAGTCTTGCTCCAGAACCTGAGTGTTGCATGCACATCTGTTTCACAGATCCGGCTTATCTGTATGCAGACTTGTGGTTCTTTGCCTCTCAGACAGATGTACTCTGACTTCGAAGGATGTCCCAAACTTGTTGATTTCTATGACTTGCTTGTGAGGTGTAAGGGGGGGAGAGGGGGAGGGGGGTGTTGGTCTATTCTTGTTGTTCCTACAGTAGGGCCCCGGAACCAACACAGAGAGCTGAATTCTATTTTATAACTCTTTTTGCCCAGCCAACATCATTCATTGCCAAACATAAGATATTACAGAGAATCAAAACCATTTTAAGTAAAACTAAGCTTGGACTGTTCAGAGCATTGATACGCTAACACATGGCTGTGGAACCTGGACCTTAACATCTGAAGTTGAAAAAAAAGATAAAAGCATTGGAAATTAGATCTGTCAGAACAAATTCTTGGCATAACCTACAGAGATAGCATCAAATGACAAGGTTCACCATCTAATTGCTCAGCACAATGGCAACTTCTTCTTCTTTTTTGTCTTGTTCACCGGTTGTGAATTCAGGTGAAAAGTCCTAGCTGTTTGTCCATTTGGACTTTTGGCTTTTACCTGGACCTGAGTTTTGTGTGTACATCCATTTTAATGGTTTATTTGTGTGCAGTTCTCCTTCCCTGCCTCTCTGGCAGATGTACTCCGACTTCAAGGGAATGGCAACTGAAATGACCTCAGATAAAATACTAAATGAACTAATTAAAGCAGCAAAAGAAGTGGGAATAGCATGGCTGGACAAGCTGTAACCTATGGGAAAACAAATGCGGTAAAAGCGACTGCACACATTACAGAGGCATCTCCCTTTGGAGTCATACTGGGAAAATCTTCTGCAAAGTTCTAGAGAAAAGTCAATGACCTGAAGTGAAGCGCAGCTGTAATTTACATAAAATATAGGATGCACAGATGCATCTTTGCTCCTGGACAACTTATAGAGAAATCAATTGAATTTAACAAAAGACTCTAGCCTTTGTTGACCAAGACAAGTCATTTGACAGAGTAGATAGGGACAAACTATGGGGACATCTTAAAAAGTTATGGTGTGATAATAAGCTTAATCAAAGGTTTGTAAAACAACAGTGAATGTACTGTTAGAACAAATTTAGAACATTCAGAACCATTCACCCCAAAAATCTGTAGAATGGCAGGGCTCTGTCTTATCTTCCTTCCTCTTCATAACTTAGATTGATCTTCTTTTTCTTATTCTTTCTTTCGTTTGAAAAAGATTATCTGTATCTGTAAGTCTGTCTCTAGTATGAATTTCACCATCTGTCGTAACTCAATCAGTTACCTGTAAAGTTTTGTTTGGACCGATGTTTCTCGTGGCCAAAAGTTTTGCCCTGATATGTTGTAACTGGGACAGTCTTGGAGGACGTGATCTATTATCACAGTTGCTAATCCACATTAATCTTACATGGATAACATCTGTAGATAAACCAACCAAACAAGGACTATAATACACCAAGGAGAAAAAGAACCAAATCACTAAGTTTCATCAAAAAACTACTATTTGCGCTTTTGTTTGCTTTCTGAGTTGTCTTGCATTTACATTTTTATTCCAAGAAAGAGAATGCCTGTGACATAGGTTGCAGCACTCTCAATGGGGGGTTGCATCCATGTTTTTAGAATGTTAAAAGCGCTGGTGTGCTAAAACATATAACACGGGATATCAGCAGCATTGCAGAACACCCCCATAACTTTGTGCCAAGGTCACCTGACTCAAGTCTACCAATCAGAAGTTAGCTAGTGTCTATATGGGCGATATCTGGGGAGCAAAAACATTACTTTTACCGGAAAATGCAATAGTAATAAGATCTAACAGGCTCTCAGAAACGTAACTACAGGGCTCAGTAGAGGGAAAAAAGGAGAAGAGACTGTGATGTTTACAACTACATTCTTCATGATGCCAAGAACAGCCATGATTTAACACAGCCGAGATGTTTTTTAAGAATGCAAAGAATATTAGAGAATGGAGTCATAGACAAACAAAATGGGCAAGAGATGTGGGAACTGTAAACTGATTAAGTTGGCATTTGTGGCTTGGGCGTTGTGAATACGCTTCCTAATGCTGGGCGCCGGGTTTGATCCCAGCTGCCAGCCTTGAGCCTCCCATTGGTTTTGACAGTCGTCTCGAGAAGCCAACCGTCCAGGAAGCAGTGACGGCAAACAACTGGACGTAAATTTGCCTTAAAAAACTACAACATCTAAAAAAAATGCTGGGGTTAGTTCGGCAGTGTCCTGTAAAGGTTGCGCAACTAAAAAAATGGATTAAATAAATCAGATGTGGACAGTCAGCGTTTGCTAGACTCATGAGAAAAAAAAATCACTCTAAGTACTTAGTGATGGCTGTCGAGACTGACAGAAAGAAAGCAAGCAAGAGGCAAAGACAGAATTACCTGGACCGCTTCACTTTACAGATGGGGCAATATAAGAACACTGACCTGGTCTGTGATTCTGGTGATCATGTGAGGTGATGAAACATGGCCACCTTTACTCATTGGCATGGCACCTGATGATGATTACTTACACAGCAAATTAAAATGGTGATATTTACATTTAAAATGTCATGGTAATATTTACATGTAAAGTTTTAATGGTGATATTAAGATTCAAAGTTCTACCAATAATATTTACATGTAAAGTTTTAATGGTGATATTAAGATTCAAAGTTGTACCAATAATATTTACATGTAAAGTTTTAATGGTGATATTAAGATTCAAAGTTGTACCAATAATATTTACATGTAAAGTTTTAATGGTGATATTAAGATTCAAAGTTGTACCAATAATATTTACATGTAAAGTTTTAATGGTGATATTAAGATTCAAAGTTGTACCAATAATATTTACATGTAAAGTTTTAATGGTGATATTAAGATTCAAAGTTGTACCAATAATATTTACATGTAAAGTTTTAATGGTGATATTAAGATTCAAAGTTTTAACAATAATTTTTACATTTAAAGTTTTAATGGTAATATTAAGATTCAAAGTGGTAATAATATTATTTACATGTAAAGTTTAGGTTTAAAGTTTAAGCTGTAATGTTTAAAATTGTAGAGTAATATTTATATTTCATTTTTTTGAGTAATATTTAGGTGAAAACTTGTATTGGTAATACAGTTGAATTGTAGTGAGGGAGGAGGTAAAGGGTAGGGGGAGGGAGGGAGTGAGTGAGTGTGAATTAAAGAGAGAGAGAGAGAGAGAGAGAGAGAGAGAGAGAGAGAGAGAGAGAGAGAGAGAGAGAGAGAATATCTATGCTGCTGGTACCAGGTAAAATTGCCAATGTCTACCCATGCAGGTATCTGACTGGTGACCAGTGGAGAGGGCAGTCTCAAGTGGAAACCTATGCAAGATGTCTGCAGATGGGCTGTCGTTGTGTTGAGTGTCAGTATGCTCATTTGTCATCTTCTTTTTCAGCAGCATACTACTTCTTTGCTTCACAAAATTCGCTGCTAATTGTTTTATTGCTTTCAGTCTAGATTTTGATCTTCTTCTTCGTCTTCTTCGCATTCACCAGCTGTAAACTCTGGCGGAAAGTTCTGGTTGTTTGACCACTTCTGGACTGCAGTCTTGCTCCAGAACTTGAGTGTTGTGTGTGCATCCGTTTGACAGATCTGACTAATGTGTATGCAGACTGTTGGTTCCTTGCCTCTCAGGCAGATGCGCTCCAACTGAAGGAAGCTCCCAATTAGTCTACACTTACGATATGCTTTTGGTTAGGCAGTGGGTTAGTTCTTGTTTTCCCTATAACAGGGCCCCAGAACCCACACAGGGACGATTGTTGTTATTTCAACAATGTGTATCCCAGATTGGTTTTACCTTTTTTTCTTTGTTTCTTCTTCTTCTGCTATTGGAGCATAGACCCTCACGCTAAGTCGTTCTGTCCTTCGCTCTTGCATGCAGCTTCCCCCATGTCATCCCCATATTTTCAACTTCACTCTCTTGCTCCTTTTCTTCTACAAGCAGGTGAAAGATGGCCCGTCGATGATCCGGATCCTTTCAGCTTTCTCCATAATGTGTCATTTTTCTTCTGTTAGAAGAGCCTGCCAGTGGATTTTTTACATGCGCAGCAATACACACGGGCGTCTGATCTTACTGGCCAGTGGAAATTAGTAGAAGCCCACTTGAAAAAATTCCAGCCTTCACTGGGGCTTGATCCCGGACCTCGAGCAGACACTATGCCCTGAGACCACTCAGCCCCCCCCCCCCCCCCCCAGAAAAAGAGATAAAATGGGTTAACATACCAGAATTTTGAAACAAAAAGAGTTAAGAAATGTTTACCTTACACAGATTAACAACTGAGCATGTTTTGAACTTCTAACTCTGTTTTTTTTTTTTTTTATTACATATAACTGGACTGTCATAGATGTCTTTACTGTCTTTATTATACCACCTAATGTTGAATTAAGAATCAACATCATAACACTCATTACATTCCCATAAGCACTCTGTCCCTATCTTCAACAGCAAGTGCAGAGTTCCAGTTGCAGTGGTATCAGTCACAGTCTTATTGTAAATCTACTTCACCTCATCTCTTGAGTTTTGATCATCATCTAGATCACCTAGTCACTCCTCATGGTACCATACTCCTCAGAGGATGATGATCGTCACTGTTCACTTGCTTCCAAAGAGCCCTTACAACATCTGATGTGGCATAAATCAATTCATCACTAAGTCTAGAAGCAGTCTATCTGCCTGTTCATTTCCTAATACACCGGCATAGCTGGAGAAAATATCCGTAGCATACTGGTCCCCCACCTTTCTCATTATGCTCTGTGAGACAGTTACAATGTGATATGTGTATACTGCTGATTCCCAAGCCTTTGGAAGGCTGCAATCACTAGAGATTGAAAGAAGTATTTGTTTTACGGATTCCATGGGATTTCATATGTATTGTTATGTTTATTTGCCATTCAGTTCATTATTATCATTGCACACTTTAAACAAGGCTTAGGGTTATACCACCTAGAAATTTTGCACAGGAGCTAAGCGTAAGCGCCGCACTCCCCCAACCGTATAAATAAGTTCTCTGCTTCTACATTTCAGATTATTTCAGGTATATTATTATATTTATTTTCCATTCACCACATTATTATTATTATTATTACACACTTAAAACAGGGCTTAGGCTCTTTAAACTTCCCTATCCCCTTTCTTAAAATTTGTAAAGGGGGCTAAAAAAAAGCATCAATAAATGGAAAACACTAGTGTCTGAGAGTGAGCAGCTGCAGTGTGGGATATTTTCACACGGGGATTCCCTGATTAAGAAGGTAGGGAGAAACCTCGAGATACTTCAGAAAAACGGGATAACCCAAATACTCGTAGAAACACGAGGTACTCGAGCTGGGTAGATGAAACGTAAAGTCACGTGGAACCCAGCACAAGGTTATAAGATTAGACAAAGGTCTAATCAGACAGTGTGTTGGACTGTTGGAACGAGAGAGGGTGTATGTGTGCTCCAGTATGAATGGAAAGAATCTTTGTGATGTGAAACTGACTACTTCAAGACGGCGACTTGACTACAACATTCATCAAAGTGAAGTCCACGCGACTCAGTTGTGGGGAACCACGAATGCAATGACCGGAGTCATGCATGCGGAGATGTTGAAGTGAAGACGGAGAACTCCAGAGTGTGAATGCGACACGATTCAATGAATTGGTGTTTGAACGATGTGGTACTCAAGTGCTGTACTTGTTAAGACACGGACTGGACATATGTTTTAAGTTCTCAAATGTTAATAAATATATCTGTATCATGGAAATGGTGTCTACTCAAACTGTGTCGTCCTAGAATGTCAGTCATATCATCAGTTAGAGTAAACTCCTAGACAACAACCAAGGACCGAACAGACAACATTGCAGTGGCCTTGACGAGAGAAAGAGAGTCTTAGAGATCCATTACAGCCAATTTCATCGTAGACACAACACATAACTAATTGACTGTTTGATTTCCCCGTGTGGGTTCCGGGGCCCTATTATAGGTAAAATGAATAGACCCACTGCAGCATGTCGTAAGAGTCGACTGATTTGAAGTTTCCTTGGAAGTCAGAGTGCATCTGCCTTAGAGGCAAGGAACCAACAGTCTGCATGCAAATAGATCAAATCTGTCAAACAGACGCACATGCAACACTTAGGTTCTGAAATAGGACTGCAGTCCAGAAGTGGACAAACAACCAAAACTTTCCACCGGAGTTTACAGCCGGTAAACATGAAGAAGAATGAAGAAGAAGATTGATTGATTGATTGATTGAATGATTGATCGGCTGACCTCAGCATTGTGTCGTTCTTCTCTAGTGGACTGCTGGGATGGCCCTGATGGGAAACCTGTAGTCACGCATGGTAAAACATTGACATCAAAGATCAAGGTGGCAGACGTGCTGCAGACGATCAAGGACAATGCTTGGGTTACATCAGAGTAAGTTGTTTTTAATAATTTCTTATTGCATATGAATATATCATGACATTTAATTTTTTTATTTAAAAAAAATGCGCAGAATTTTGCCGAATGATTAAAAAAAAAACCAGTAAATAAGGCACCAGATCAGATGGGGTTACAAATACCAGCATTCGAAAGAATGTTGGAATAATATCCTGAGTTAATTAAATTGGAAAAAAAATAATGAAATGGTTCCGCCATCTTGTGAAAATGCAACCAGACCAAACTGCATGAAACGTTTTACAGCAGAAGGTATGGGAAGAAGGCAAGAGGAAGACCAAGAAAGAGATGGATAAATCGTGTAACTTAAACGTGTAAAAACAAAATTTGATCAAATCCACCACCTAGGCCACCTGAGAAGTGCCAGACAAATACAGAAAACCCTGACACTGGGCTTCAACCTGGTATCAATAAGACAACAAAAAGAGAAGAAGTAGAAAAACAAAGGAGACAGTCCTCTCAAAACAGGTGAAAATGAAAATTTTAAACTTATTAGAATAATTAGACGTAGACTCTGTTTTTTTAATTTTTTATTGTGGGGGGTGGGGGGGATGTTATGAGAAGGAATGGGGATCACTTGAGCACTGACCTGTTTCATGGTTCTGGTGATCATATGAGATGGCAAAACATGACTGTCTACGTTTAATGACAGGGAACATGATAATATCATTATTATTATTTTCATCTTTTTATTTTGTTATGGTCATTTGAAATCTCTACCAACGTTTCGGGTGTGATATGGATAATCTTATTTTTGTCCTGGTCAACAAATGCCCACAGAAGTCAGATGTGTTGGCTAAAAGGTGCAAATATCACAGCCATGCTGTAAATGGGCACAACGAATTTGCATCTTTGGATGAATGCAGAAGAAGAAGAATTGCTACTGTCTAATTTATGAGAAAACTTAATAATTAACCCAAATTTTCTGTTAATCATTATTTTTTGTTAACCATTATTTCCTATTAACCATTCGTTTCTATTTACAATTATTTTCTGGTACCCATTATTTTCTATTTGTCATTATTTTCCATTAACCAATAATTTTCTATTTACCTTTATTTTCTAACAAATAATTAGTATCTATTTACCATTATTTTCTGGTACCTATTATTTTCTATTTACTATTATTTTCTATTAACCATTATTTTCTATTTACCATTATTTTCTCCAAACCATTAGTATCTATTTACTATTATTTTCTGTTAACTATAACTAACAAATATTTTCTATAACTGTCCATAATATATAGCTACCCTTTGGTATTGTCCATTGAGAATCACTGCAGCCTTCTTCAGCAAAGACAGCTAGCTCAATTATTCAAGGAAATATTTCAAAGTAAGTTCCTCACATTGTGAGAAATTTCAGTCTGGCTGTTTATTTTTAAAAACCTGGCTAGTGGTATTATTTGTGTGTGGACAGGTGGATTAGATAGCATTATTTTTTTCTGTTGATTTTTAATTTAACGTTCAACATTCTTTTTTTTTTGTTTTGTTAATTCAGATATGAAGTTCAGTTAGTTAAAAAAATTGTTATCCTCTGAATAACAGTCCCAAATTATCGAGGCCAAAAATATACCCTAACAGGGCCTCAGTCACATGGCAATTGCGGACTTCCCGGGACTATACTGCCACCGCCAAATTTAGGACTTCCGGGCACTATACCGCCAAAAAAAAGCGCTGAAGTCGGAGGCAACCTGCCAAGAGGCGCACCACAACAAACAGGATGTCACACACAATCGCAATAGGGAATATATCTATATCTGCAAACAAGTATGACTCTCACCATGTGACCCACTCACATACAAGTGGGATGTCTTACCAGCCTGCATCTAGTAGAAAGGTTCCAGCTACTGGACATCACTGGGCATCATCATGCCCCCTGTCAACAGGTGTAGGCGCTCATGCGTCTCCACAGGTCACTATCCCTAGTTGCCTGGAACAGCTCTCTTGATCACATCCCTCCATGCCATCGTTTCTGCCCATCCAGCGTCATCTCTCTTGGTCTGCCTCTACCCCTTTTCCCACTGATCTTTCCAGTTGTCACGATGTTCTCTGATGTCTTTCTTCTCATTATGTTGCCAAAGAACAGTGTTTGTCTCTTTCTTATTGTTGTATATAGAGATCTGCTTTCATTAGCCTCTTTCAAGCAATCGTTAGTTACTCTGGCTGTCCAAGGTATTCGTAACATTCATCTCAGAAACCACATCTCTATTGCTTCCAAATTCTTCCTAATTTGTTCACTGACATTCCAAGATTCACTTCCGTACAGCAGAACATGTTCAGTGTAGCATTTTAGCACCCTCTTTAAAAAATACAGTTAGTCTAAAAATAATGAACTGGAACAAGGAGGGAGTAAAATACTAAGAAATTAGAAGTAGATAACAATTTGAACAAAGAACAGATACAAGTCTGCTGCCTTCACATATAGAGGTTTTTGGAGAGACTGCAAATAAAAAGAGAGTTAGTGAAAGCAAACTTTTTTGTTTTCACAGAGACATTAAAAATATTTTGACCATTTTAAAAAAAAATCCTTTACAAGACGTTGCACAACCAACCTCAGCATTTTTTGGCTGTTGCAAAAATAGATTGATTGTCTGTTGTGTTCTCACTTCTGCAGGTGACCTACTTACTGAACAGGTCGACATGAACGAGACTAAACTTCCATCTCCAAACCAGCTAAAGCGTAAAATTATTATCAAGGTGAGTGATCTTAATTAATCATGTAACTTAATATGAATTATACATTAATTTCTACTTCTGCTATACATGCAATAAAATAGAACTCTTGTGCACATTGCAAACATTTAACATGTGTTACCAGGTGGAAATCTTCAATGGGTAACTCTGCAGGATAAGTTAAAAAAATAAACCTACTCTCTTCTGATCTCATGCCAGAAAAAAAAAACTTTGTCTCTCTTTAATCTTTCTTCTCCTCCTCCTCCTCCTCCTCCTCCTTCTTCTTCTTCTTCTTCTTCTTCTTCTTCTTCTTCTTCTTCTTCTTCTTCTTCTTCTCCTTTTTTTTTCTTCTTTTTCTTCTTTTTCTTCTTCTTCTTCTTCTTCTTCTTCTGCTTCTTCTGCTTCTTCATCTTCTTCTTCTTCTTCTTCTTCTTCTTCTTCTCTGTCTTCTTCTTCCTCTGCGGCTGTAAAGTCTGCCAGAAAGATCTGGTTATTCATCCACTTCTTGACTTTGGCATTGTTCCAGAGCTTGAGTTTGTGTGTTTGCATCAGTTTGACAGACTGTTGGTTCCTAGCCTCTCATGCAGATGCAGTCTGACTTCAAAGGAAACAACCTTAATCAGTCACCTCTTATCCCATGCTGCTTGTTGGGTGGGCAGTGGATCTATTCTTTTTTCTGTTTCCTTCTCTCACACTGGTCACCCTGGAACCCACACAGAGTATTGCTCTAACAGTTGCATATTATTTTCTAGTTTCCTTACCCCTTATAGGTAATCATCTTCAGTTACGCTGACTTTCCATAGTATTTTCAGTAGTTGTCTCAAAAGCTTTATCTTTACTGCCCTCAAGATTAATTGGCCTACCACCATACCTCAGTATTCCCAACTGGCATTGATGTATGAGATATTTGAATATTCTTTCTCCTCAGAACAAAAAATTGCAAGGAGATTGGAAGACTACCGATGGGAAACAGTATCTGGACATGTGTAAGTATGACAGAGTTTTTAGAATTTGTGACCAAAACTAATTTACATTTACCTTTGTTTTACAGGAAGGCAGATTTTTATTGATTTACCTGGCTCTCCAGATCTGGAATGGGTACATGGAAATATTTTGGAAATAATAGATGGCTGGTGTCGTGTTGACCACATTTCTGCAATCTGCAGCTGTTACATAATATATTTATTTAATCTATTTCTGATCCATGTTTTTTAAACATCTAATCAATGGTTTACTGATGAATACTTGTTCCATGTTTTATTTATGTAATCGGCTTTGATCCATATTTTACATCTCTAATTTACATTTGGTCCACATAGTAATGTAAAGTAAAGATACCTTTTCATGCCTTTCGGCTTATCGGATATATGAGAAGAGGGCCCATATTTTTAGGTGGGAAATGTGGTCAGCATTACATCGGCCGTCTTTACTTTCCCAGGATCTGGTCCATATTTTATATATAATTTACAGCTGTCGTATGTTTTCTTTTACATAATTTACATCTAACCCTTATTAAACTTTTTTAAAATCCACATCTCATCCATATTTATTCTCTAATCTATATGCAACCCATATTTTAGTTCTAAACAGCTACATCCAATCCATATGTCTACATTCTACATCCAATCTAATTTTTTTCTGTAAACTGTGTCATCCATATTTTATTTTTAAAGTCAACATCCAAACATAATATTTTTCTATAGTCTACATGCAACCCGTATTTTGATTTTTTTTTAATCTATATCCAACCCATATTATTATTTCTTTGAATCTTTATTCAACCCATATTTTGATTTCTTTAAATCTTTATCCAACCCATATTTTGATTTCTTTAAATCTTTATCCAATCCATATTTTGATTTCTTTAAATCTGTATCCAACCCATATGCTATTTCTTTAAATCTTTATCCAACCCATATTTTTATTTCTTTAAATCTTTAATCAACCCATATTTTTATTTCTTTAAATCTTTATCCAACCTATATTTTGGTTTCTTTATATCTTTATCCAACCCATATTTTTATTTCTTTATATCTTTATCCAACCCATATTTTGATTTCTTTAAATCTTTATCCAACCCATATTTTGGTTTCTTTATATCTTTATCCAACCCATATTTTTATTTCTTTATATCTTTATCCAACCCATATTTTGATTTCTTTAAATCTGTATCCAACCCATATGCTATTTTTTTAAATCTTTATCCAACCCAAATTTTGATTTCTTTAAATCTTTATCCAACCCATATTTTGGTTTCTTTATATCTTTATCCAACCTATATTTTGATTTCTTTAAATCTTTATCCAACCCATATGCTATTTCTTTAAATCTTTATCCAACCCATATTTTGATTTCTTTAAATCTTTGATCAACCCATATTTTGATTTCTTTAAATCTTTATCCAACTCATATTTTGATTTCTTCAAATCTTTTTCCAACCCATATTTTGATTTCTCTGAATCTTTATCCAACCCATATGCTATTTCTTTAATCCACAAGTAGTTTACTTCTGTAATCAACATCTAATACATATTTTACTTATGTAATCTTTACATGTCAGCGTCTGTGGCTTAGGCGTTGCGACTGAGATTCATTATGCTGGGGTGCTGGTTTTGATCCCAGCTGCAAATTATTTGTCTTGCGTTGGTTTCAACAGTGGTACTGAGAGCTGACAGTTTAGTAAGCCGTGGCAAACTACTGAATGTAAAAATTTGCCTAGAAAACCACAAAGGCCCAGAAAAAATGCTAGGTTTTTGTTCTGCAACGTCCTTTAAAGGATTTGTAACTATTTTTTTATCTACACAATCCATATTCTTCTTCTTCTTCTTTTCTCTATTCTCTGTGTGGTCAATCTCTGGCTCTGTTATAGTTGTATCTGAATAATTGTGCTCTCTGTGATGCCCTGTCTGATGCCAGTCTTGTTACATGGCCAAGGCCAAGCCATTACATTTGTTGTCTACCCATAAAGTTCAGTATTGTTTCTGTGCCGACTGTCCTCCTGGTATCATCGTTCCTAAGTCGATCTTTCCTCGTTATACCTAGTTAACCTAGTCTGAATGTGATAGTCTAGTTTAAGTGTGACCTTCTAGGATGTTTGAAAACACTGTGACTGGTTTTCTTCTTCTTTTTTACCAGCTGTAAACTCTGGCAGAAAGTTCTGGTTGTTTGTTCTGGACTGCAGTCCTGTTTCAGAACCTGAGTATTGTGTTGTGCATCCGTTTTACAGATCTGACTCATTTGTATGCAGACTGTTGGTACCTTGCCTCTCGGGCAGATGCAATCCGACTTCGAAGGAAGTTCCCTTTGGGTCGGCTTTTACGACGTGCCTGTGGGTAATCAGTGGGTCTGTTCTTGTTTTCCATGTGATAGAGCCCCGGAACCAACATAGGGATGACTGGTCTAGCAAACCAACAATGGTTTATTTAGTGCTCATAGAACATGGAGATAATCCATATTATACTTCTATAATCTACAGCTGATCTGGCTGATGCCAAGAAACATGGAAAACTGTGCATGAAGTACGCTGCTGAAGAGGTTTGTCTTGTTGTTTTGTTGTTTTTCCTTTTTTTTTTTTTTTTATCGGGAGGGTGGGGGGGGGGGGGGGGGGGGGGGGGGGGAGGGGGGGGGGGGGGGTGGAGGGGGGGGGGTGGGGGGGGGGGGGGGGGGGGGGTGGGGGGGGGGGGGGGGGGGGGGGGGGGGGGGGGGGGGGGGGGGGGGGAGGGGTCCAAATTGTGTTTTATTTCTTTGTCCATGGATTACAGTGTCATCAGTGACTGGGTCGCCTATTGGCTGGCCGGTGAATGGCTTTATCGTCGGTCGAGACAGTGTTTGTGTCTGTCTCTCTTGATCACATCTGTAATCTGGTAATCTTAGTTTCAGCTTCATATCAAACGGGTCACATCAACACTGCAAGAGTCCTTTACACGGCTACTTGATGGTGAGCAGTGCTAAGCCATTTTATATGTCGCTCATCAAACTAGTCACAATTATAACCATTTTAACCAAAAGCTTCTCACCCCTCCCCCCCCCCCCACACACACACACACACACACATTTTTCGGGGGATGCTGGTTGAACGTGATGATTTTTTAAAATTTCTTTCTTTACCTTGTTTTTTTTTAGCAAGTCAAGTCAAGGCAAGAATACAGTGTGCTTTGCTCTGTGATCATTACTGACCCTCACGAACCTCATGTTAACAGCTAGAGTCATTTTTAAAAAAAAACACATTAAAAATTAGAATTGTCAAATATGATGCATACAAGGTTGACCCTGCCAAGTTGTGCACAAATTGGATGATAATCTAGCAACTTGAAAATTTAATTGTAGTCTTATTTCGGCTGTCCCAAGCCCTGATGAAAAAGGAGTTCCTTCCCCTCCCATTCATGCCACGGCCAGTCGCATGACCTGTCCTATGTTGTGGGGGTGTCATGTATTTTCAACGGTTTAACCATTCTTTCTTTTCTCATGTTGGTTAGGTTTGTTGGCACCTGGGTGGGTCTTTGGTTTGGTTGGTTAGGTTTACAGACATTCAGAGAGACAAATTATGTGACTAGAAGACAAAACTTTTTAAAATACCCCCAACAAGCAGGTTGTAAAAGATGTCTCATTATGTGTGTTTTCTTCAGAGTCAGAGTTAATGTGCCTGAGAGGCAAGAAACCAACAATCTGCACTGAATAAGCTAGATCTGTAGACTGGTTGTGCACACAAAAGTCAAGTCCTGGAACAAAACCAAAGTCTGGAAGTGAACAGACCAGGGCTTTCCACTGCAGTTCACAGTGAACGTGCAGAAGAAGAAAAAGAAAAAAAAGAAAAATGTTTATGGTAAAACTTGCCCTCAGACAGTGGCCTATATGTGAAATGTACCAATAACTTAGGCAGAACATTGTGCGTAATCTCATTCTTTTCCTAGTGTGGGTTCTGGGGCTCAGTTTTGGAGAACAAAGAATATGTCCTTTTTCCCCCCCAGAAACAAGCATGTCGTAGTATGTGACTAATCAGGGTCACTTCCTTCGGAGTTAGAGCACATCTGCCCGAGAGGCACGAAATTTATAGTCTGCTTACAAGTAAGCCAGATTTATAAAATATATAATGTGCATGCAAAACTCAGGTTCTAAAACAAGAGACAAGTTAAAAGTAGACGAATGAGCTGGAATTTTTGCAGGAGTTTACAGCCAATGAACACTGAGAAGAAGAAATAAAAGAAGAAGAAGAAGAAGAAGAAGAAGCAGTAGCAGCAACAGTAGTCCCATTTTAAAATTCACATCAGAAAAAAGTCTTTTTTTTTTTAATGTTTACCACATATCCATCAGTTGTATTTCTATTTTTCTGAACCTATAGAAATGGAGTGTGTTTGACGTTTTCCTGACAGACAGCCTGATTGGCTTCACACCACATGTCGTGTCAGTGGAAGAAGACGAGATAGTTGAAAACTGTGAGAATATCTACACGGTAAAAAACAAATTTAAAAAAGTAGTTTATAAATGTAACAGAGCATTGTATCTTTTTTCAGTACCGAAAGACTTTTTTAGAGATGTCTATGTCGTTCACACCCACAATAAATAGCATGTTTCTGTAACTTCCAAAGAGGCAGCACTAACATGTTACAAAACTGGGCCAGATTTCTCTAGTAGGCTCAGTCAAAATTTATACAATATTTGGCCAGATCTTTCTAGTATGCTTAGTCAACATTTTTTACAATACTTGGCCAGACTTCTCTAGTATGCTCAGTCAAAATTTAAACCATACAGTAACACACCATGCATCTATGGAGACATTAGAGTAATAGCTGTACACACACACAGTAATTTGCTTTGTACAGAAAGGGGTATTAACTTTTATGAGCCACAGCAGAATAGCTCTCTTTCCAGGGACTAAGGAGCGTACAGAAGTGGAGAAGGGAAGCAACATAAGAACTCACAAAAAATATGCTGTTTCGAGCTGAACCTATCTCGACACAAACCACGTCAACTTCAACAGTGGATAAAACACTTTCATGCCAAACTGGTGATTTTGGGTTTGAATATGTATTAATATATTTTTTTAATTACCTATGCTCTCAGACAAAGCCTAACTTGGATAGATACTAGGAAAATGTTTTTGAATTAGAGGTGGTCATGTTGATGTTGAATACACTCCCAATGAAATGCTGAAGATCTGAGTGTGCAACATATACCTGCAGAATAAGGTGTTGCAAGTATTTTATATTTGTGTATCTGTCTGCATTTTTATACGTCTGTAGAACATTGATTCCATTGAAACCCCTTGCCCCCCCCCACCAACTCCCCCCCCCCCCCCCCCCCCCCCGCCACCCCCCCCTCCCCCCCCCCCCCCCCCCCCCCCCCCCCCCCCCCCCCCCCCCCCCCCCCCCCCCCCCCCCCCCCCCCCCCCCCCCACCCCCTGATTTCTGGAAACCCCTGGTTTTATAGAATTATGACGGCCATGTGTAGATCATACCGAGAACAATAGCACATGACCAAGTCTTTCATGTTTAAATATCCAACCCCGAACCAGCGTAATCAGTAATCTTCTTCTTCTTCTTTCCTCTACTCCTGGAATGCCTCATGGCGTCGGGGCAGGAAGAGATCTCTGGAATGGGCCCCTCTGTTCGCTTCGTGTAAAAGTGTCTCTAATATGTCTGCGGTCCATTTTCTGCCTGGTCAGCCTCCAGCTCTGTTACCATTGTATCTGTATAACATTGCTTTCTGTTGTGTCCTGTCTGATGCCAATCTTGTTACTTGGAGAAAGCATTTGATTTTTTCTACCTTAAAGTTCACTACTGGTTCTGTGCCAACTCTTCTACTGATATCATCGTTCCTGGGTTGATCTTTCCTCGTTACACCAAGCTTAGTACGTAAACATTTTATTTCTGTTGTGACTATTTTCTTCATCTTCAAAAGACAGCTCCATGTCTAACATTAATAACATAGCATTAAATGAATTCTTGGCAACCAATAATTTTAGACAGTCTAAAACTTATCTCCTTCATGACTAATCCAGACTTGTAATTGTCTTCAGGATTTTGACAACAGTGTATGTGAGGATTCTGAGGAAGCTCACCCGCTCAGTTCTCAGCTGTGGTACCATGGAGGTATTGACCGCAGCACAGCAGAACTGATACTAAAAGAACAACGATTCCACGGAGATGGTACTTTTTTAGTTCGTGATGGCCATAGAGGAGATTTAGTATTGTCTTTTTAGTAAGTACTGTTGTGTCAGTTTCTGAAAGACAATCAAACCACCCAGTTATGTTCTAAATACTCCAGTTTTTCTAGAACTGTACTGTCACCTCTAAATAACAAATGATGAAGAAATTGAAATTGTCACAAACTTTGAATTTCTAGGCTCCAAAGTAAATAGCAGTGAAGACTGCTCAACAGAGGTTAGAAAGAGCATTGCCATAGCAATACAAAGATTAAACAGCATTAAATGTTTAAATTTTGAAAGCATGCATCTTCCCTATAGCAACAAATGTGGATGTGAGTCCTGGACTGTCTCCAAGTCCTTAAGAAAGAGAATAGGGGCTTTTGAGCTGAAATGCTATAGAAAGATCAGATCTGAGCATCAAGGAAGATTGCCTAATAAACAGCATCTTCCCTGTGTGGGTTCCAGGACCCCATTGTGGGGAAAACAAGAACAGACCCACTGCCTATCCAAAAGCATGTCCTAAGAGTCGACTCACTGGGGAGCTTTCTTTGAAGTCAGAGTGCATCTGCCTGAGAGGCAGGGAACCAACAGTCTGCATTCAAGTGAATCAGATACTGTAAAACTGAACAGGACTGCAGCTCATAAGTGGACGAACAACCAGAGCTTTCCGCTAGAGTGTACAGCTGGTGAACGTGAAGAAGAAGAACATCATCATCTTGCCTCGGAAGCTGAAATATTTTAGTCATATCAAGCAGATTGAAAAAATAACAGCAGAAGGCATGGTACCAGGAAGGAGGGGCAAGGGCTGACCACCACAAAGATTGGCGCAGAATATAAGTGACTCCTTAAATATGAAAGTACCCAAGGTTGGAAAGATGGCGAAAGACTGAGTTTCTTTCAGCAGACGATGGTGAGAGCGATGTTCTGCAAAGGACCTGCTACATTAGGATGATTCTTCCTTCATTTTAGTATAAGGAGCAATTGGAATTGAGCCATATTTGTTACTTTTAAGTAAGAGAACACTTCAAAAGATATAAAAACAATGGAAGAAAGATACCAGGGACTTTAGGATGCCAGCATGAGGGCAGATTATTTTTGCACCCTTAAATGTGACCGCCCAGGAAAAAATAAAAGCTTTTTGAGTGTTGACTATTGGTAAATAAATGCTACTTATCAAGCTTTTACAATATATTTTTGATGTTTTATTTGAAGGTCATAAATGCACAGTCATCATCATCATCAATTCTCTTTATGCATGGTGGCACATGAGGCTTCAGAGAGGACTTTCCATGCTTTCCTGTCTAGTGCAATCTTCAGTGCAGTTTTCCATGTCTAAGATGCCGCACTCTGGTCACTTTCCATTGTTCATCTCCATGTTGTTTCCAACACTAATGGAACCCTTTGTAATCTGCTTATATGTTGGTCTTGCCTTTCCTCTGAGTGTAGTGAGCAGGCCATACCCTCTGGTTACACCCACACTCACTTACATTTATATATATATATATTTGTCCCCAGTGCCTATGGCAGTGTGTCACACAGTATAATCAAGGAGTGTGATGACGGCAAAGGACATAAACGATACCTGATCGGAAACGAAGTCTGGCATGATAGTGTGGCAGAACTGGTAGAGTACTACTACAGTCATCGGTTGACTTACAAGGATAAGGGTGTCAGCTTAAGTTTAACCTACGCTGTCAAGAGAATTCTGGGGTTTGAACATGAAAAGTAAGTATCATTGCATCCCTCCTTTTTTGTCTGAAGGTTTAAAGGTTTGAAAGTCTGAAGGTTTGATAGTCTGAAGGTTTCAAGGTTTCAAGATTTGAAGGTTTGAACATCAGATCAACATCATGGAACACTAGTAGTAACCCATAAGTGTCACCGTTCTTCTTTTCACTCAAGTCTGAGTCCGAAGAAGCTCAGCACAGTGCACAGGCTCTGTAGCACCAGCAAGGATCCTGAGATACTTTGGGTAGATTTTTAACTCAAAATTTTGCCCGGGCATTGCCATTAGGCTACTCTTTTCGATTTCCAACTACCAAGGGATTTTGTTTACCTGTGCAACAATCAATGCACACGGGCGTCCCATCTCACTACCCAGAGACCAGAGCTAATTACTAGAAGTCCAAGTCCACATGAACGAATCAAAGACTTTACCGGGGATTGAACCCGAAACCTCTAGCACTCGAGGCGAACCCTCCTTTTTGTCTGATGTTAGGTATTGCCTCCATCTTGAATCTTTGTGGATTGGAATATGTAGTACAGAAGAGAGTCAAAAACTGTGTATACTAAATTAAATAGTTGAATAAAAGTAGAACATGAGGCAAACCAAGAAGACAGTGCAGAATGTTTAATTAAGAATCAACATCACAGCACTCGGGACACTCCCATAAGCAATCCATCCCCATCTTCAGCAGCAAGTGGAGAGTTGCAATTCTGATGGCACCAGTAACTGTCTGATTGTACATCAGTCTCCCCCTTTCCTTGAATGTTGAGCGTCGGCCAGATCCCCTGGTGAAGACGGTGAAAAGAAAATACACAGGCAGTCTTAAACTGACGGTGGATGGCTGACGCCAACCCATGTGAGAATATACACTAATATTGTGAGTGTGTGGGTTTGAACCCTAACAGTGAGAAATTGGTCTAATATCAGAGCTATGTTCATCCCAGACACAGTCCTAGATAACCAAGTAGATAGCAAAAGAGGCTTGTTCAATAAAATGAAAGAAGCTGTACTTGTATCCACAGGAGTGGGCAAAGGGTATAGATAGATATCAAGATGAATTCAAAGAGATGATATCCAGATGCACAGTTAACCCCTCCAAATTTGACCTCTTCTGGTATAAATGTACAACAAAAGTCCTCATCAAGTGATTTACATGTATGAGAGCTGAGTGTGTCGCCAGAATGGCTTAAGACAGTGGCATGGAGGAATGTCATCAGTGGAACTGATCCAGAGCAGCAAAGACTCAGATCTGTGAAAATGCATGAACGCCTGAGCCAGCTGTCAAGGTACTTGATGATGGTGAGTCCTAAAATACTTGAATTCAACAAATAGAAAGAGAAGCCAGTCACAGTGATAAATGTAGAAGGGTGATATCTCCAGCAGTGAAACTCAAGGTCTCGGAACTAAAGAAGAAGAAGAAGAAGGATCTGTAAGGAAGTAAATCTGGGATAGTCAGCAGATTCTTGAAAAATTATGGTATAGCTAAATAAAAAAGAAGAATAATGAGAAACCTTTAGATCATATATTTTATTATTTTTTCAGTTAAATTATAAATAATATATTTTGTGAAACTTTATAAAACAAAAAGCCAAGGAATTTTGTTTTGTTTTTGTAAGCAGTTTGTACGTTTACAGTTAAAAGTCCAAATAATATGTTAACACAGGACTACACCTGGTACGCATTTAAGGCTGGGTCAGACAGAGGGCCAAGTTAATTTTTGAAGAAAAAAAAAGTCTTCCTCCATTAGGACCCAAACCCAGGGTGATATGCTAATTTATTCATGTTTGTTTACAGGTGGTATCAGCCCGATATTGACCGCATGTCTGCTGAAGAGTTCCTCAGGGCAATACCATTGGATGGGGTGTTTCTTGTTAGGCCTAGTTCCGTGCCAAACTGTTTTACCCTTTCCATGAGGTATGTGCATGGTTTTACTATTTTTTTTTTTTTCAAATCCTAACTTTTGGTTTCCCTATCATTTTTTTTAATGTAGCCACACTGTTGTGAGCAATGTATGGATATATGATAGGGCTGTGCCCCTTTGGTAAAACAGTCCATATATTAAAACATTTATGTCCCTTGAAGTTTATTATTAAGGGTGTAATATGTAAATTAGACTAGAAGTTGAGTTAGGATGAGTCCAGAATTGACATCCCAGCACTCGGGGCATTCCCATGCATGCTCCATCCTCATCTTCAGCAGCCAGCGCAGAGTTCCAATACTGTCGGTACCAGTCGCAATCAGGTTTTATGTCTGTCTTGCCTTTTCTCTGAGTGTAGTGAGCCGACCAGACCCTCTGGTTACACCCAAATGCCTCATTCTCTCTAGGCCCAAAAAAATCTGTTATCTCTACTGATTCTGTTACTTGTTCCCAAAGGGCCTTGACCACATCTGCCTTGTCATGTATCAATTTCCCCACCCAGTGGACTAGGATTAGATTAGGATGGTGTATTTCTTGTTTGGCCTGGTTCAGTACCAAACTGTTTTACCCTATCCTTAAGGAATGTGTACGGTTTTACACGTGTTTTTTTCAGTCAAAACTTTAACTTCCCTTATCATTATGTTGTTTGTAATCACATCTTTCCCTCTTTTTACTATGTTGTTTGTAACTAATCATCATATTCTTTCCTCCCTGCAAATAAAAGTAGGCCTAGACAACCACCTCGATCACTGGTTATAAGCCAGAGATGTTGTCCTGATACTTATGTCATTGTCTATCTTGCTCTCTTTCCTTTGACTTTTCCCTCCAGTATAGCTTTTAAAAGAGTGTTATGTCTTTTAATGTAGTCAGAATATTTCTATTATTTCTTGTTTATTTCTTTCAGTAACTCTAATTTCCTTTGCAGTCTTTCCAGAAGCTCTGATTTGATTGTTTTTGTTTTCATCAGATATCACCTATTCTTCTCTGTGTCCACAATTCCAAAGAATATGTGGGTTCCAGGGAGGCACTGTGGTGGGGGGAGGGGGGGTGTAAAAAGAATAGATTCACTGCCTCCCCCTCCCCCCCCCCCCCCCCCCCCTTGCCAACAAGCATGTCTTGGGATACTACCAATTAGGCCTTTCATTCTAAGAGAGTGCATCAGTCTGAGAGGGTAGGAACCAACAGGCTGCATACAAATATCCCAGGGCTCTGTTCTGCCCCTCCCCCCTTTTGCACCAGCAAGCATGTCATAAGAGGTGACTAATTATGAGAGTTTCCTTCAAAGTCAGATTATATCTGCCTGAGAGGCAAGGAACAAACAGTCTGTTTATAGATATGTCAGATCTGTAAAACTGCTGTGCATGCAAAACTCATGTTATGGAGCAAGGCCAGACTCTAGGAGTGGAAAAACAATCAGAACTTTCTGCCGGAGTTGACAGCTGGTGAATTTTAAGAGGGTAAGTATGCAGATAAGCCATAGCTATAAAATTAATGTGCATGCAAAAACCTAAGTTCTGGAACAAGACTAAAGTCCAGAAGTGGATGAACAACCAGAACTTTCCACCAGAGTTTACAGGTGGTGAATACATTGAATGTTGAATTAAGAATCAACAGCATAGCACTTAGGTCACTCTCATAAGCAATCTCTCCCCATCTTCAGCAGCAAGGGGAGCGTTCTAGTTCTGAAGGCACCAGTAACTGTCTGATTGTATATCTGTCTTGCCATTCCCCTGAGTGTCGAGCATCGGCCAGATCCCCTTGTAACTCCTCGCTTTGCCATTCTCTTCAGACCATAATAATCTGTTTGTGCCTCCACACTGTTTACTCGCTCCCAAAGGGCCCTTACAATACCTAGCTTGTCATACATCAGTTCACCACCAAGTGGTGCGGAACCAGCCAGTCTATCTGCTTCACCTGGAGCAAATATCTAAAAGATGCTGGAACAAGACTAATGTTTAGAAATGGATGAACAACCAGAACTTTCCACCAGAGTTTACAGCCGATGGACGCAAAGATGAAAAAGATTTCCAGATACTCAGTCTTATTTTCTAGTTGCTTGTTCATTGCCTGGGTCATCATTGTTGAAATTCATTACTGGAAAATATGGTTTAGAATTGGATTTTGTTTTTTTCTGCAGGTATCACCACAGAGTCTCTCATTACCAGATAGAATACAAACAGAATAAGTTTGTGATCGGGACCTTTCATTTTGCCAGCATGAACAAACTGGTTGATCACTTCTATAACCATCCACTGTACAAGACAGCCAAACTGACATGTCCTGCGTCTGAAGATCTGAAGCAAAATGAACCGGATGAGGTAACTGGCAAAGGGATATGTCTGTGTTATTATTCTTTGTAATTTCCCTGTGGGCTATCCTCCGAATAATGGTCCTTAATTATTGAGGTGGAAAATATACCCTAACAGGGTCTCAATCACGTGTCAATTGCGCACTTCCGGGGACTATAACGTCACCGCCGAATTACGAATTTCCGGCAACTTCCACCACCACCGAGAGTATCCCCCGCGCCACTCGCGCGGCGTGGATTGGGGCTAAACTAGATGGCTGGGACTCACGAGCAGATAAAATAAAGGAAGCTGCAGGAGATGAGGTAGCTGCTGCTCGTCATCTAGTCCCAGTCATCTAGTTTAGCTCCAATTAACGCCGCATGAGCGGCGTGGGGGATACTCTCGGCGGTGGCGAAAGTCACCGGAAGCGCGCAATTTAGGATGACGGAAATGCGCAATTGACACATGACTGCGGCCCTGTTAGGGTATATTTTCCACCTCGATAATTTAGGACCGTTATTCAGAGGATAGCCCCCCTGTGAATTTTAAAAGTGTTGCTTTATTTGATCACTATAAAATTCAACTCTGTGGTTGGGGGGGGGGGGGGGGGGGGTGAGTGTATGTGTATGTATGCATGAGTGTATGTATGCATGTGTGGTGTGTGAAGGGTTAAAAAAAAATTTATTATCTGAAGAGCGAATGGCTAAATGGAGATATAGGTTTGAATTCTCAGTTCCCTGTGTGTGATCATCGGCCCTTGTGTGGGTAAAACAAGAATAGACACACTACCTTTACAGTAAGCATGTTGTTCGAGTTGATTTGTTGGGATCTTCCTTCAGAATCAGAGTGCATCTGCCTGATAGGCAAGGAACCAACAGTCTGCATACAAATAAGCCAGAGCTTAAAAGTTAATGTGAACACGGCTCTTAGGTTCTGGAACAAGACCAAAGTCCAGAATTGGGCACACAACCAGAACGTTCTGTCGGAGTTTACAGCCGTTGACCACGAGGAAGAAGAAAATCCTCAGAAAGGTCGAGATACATTTTATTCTCTTGGGGATACAAATTAAGATCTTAACTGCACAGTCCATTGAAGCACTCAACCTAAATCCTCAGGCTCAAGATACCGGGGCCTACACTGTCCCTAAACAGTGATAAATACATGTTTTATATAGCATGTATCATCTTCTGTTCATTTGTCCGAGTGTTGTAATTAGCTAGGCAGCAAAATCTCAGCCTTTGACTCAACGCATTCAATTTTAATTAGTCGCCTGTTAGAACATTTTTGTTACGAGGCAGGGGGTCTATTCGTTTGCCCCCCCCCCCCCCCCTTTTTTTTTTCCAAAACAAATAGGGGGAAGGAACCCATATGAGGTGGATATTTGATTTATTTACATCCCTCTGCACTGTGCCAAGATTCTTCTTGTGTGATCTTTGGAAGGAACCGGAAACACTTATAAAAGTAGCTGCGTGCATGAGAGTCATCTTTTACATCATTATCATTAAGTGCTTGCAAGCTGGCTTAGGCCTTCATGCATCTCCACAGATCTCGGTCTTTGGTGTTCTGGATCAGTTCTACTGAGGATACTCCACCATTTGACTGTCTTCAGCCATCCACCATCATTTCTCTTGGTCCACCTCTGCCTCTTTTACCAGTGATCTTTCCAGTCATCACAATAGTTTCCAGTGCTTCTTTCCTCATCGCGTGACCAAAGAACTTTGTTTGTCTTCTTCGTATTGTTCATATAATTTTATACTTTCATCAGTCATTTTCAGGTAACCATGGTTAAATTCTGTCAGTCCAAGGTATTCTCAACATTCTTCTCAAGAACCACATCTCGCTTGCCTCCAAACTCTTCTTAATGTGTTTGCTGACATTCCAAGATTCACTGCCATACAACAGAACAGGCTTGATGTAACATTTCAGTACTCGCCCTCTGATGTTTAATGAGCATAATGATTTATCAAATATAATACTTTGCATCTTCTGAAATGCTGCTTTTAAATGCAGACATGTAAAAACTGTGATGATTGTGATTGGAGACTGACTTTATTGTTTACAGGGATTCTATACTGGGACAGGCTTATATTATCCTCCTACACAGCAAAATAAAATGGTGAGTAGAATCATGTGCTTTGTTCTGTTAAATCTAATAAGTCTTACATATATGTATGTTTTTGTGACAACTTGGATGTATTATTGCCACAATCCTTAATCTGCCTTCCCAGTAGCTCTGCCCTGCAATAAATTGTGCATGTTTCTACTGCTCTGATGTGTTATGGACATTTTTGTGACTTCTACAGATAAGTGATTTGTGTATTTTTGTTTGTAACTGTACTGTTGTCCATTTGATCCTATGCTGATGAAGGTGTAATGGCTGCAACATTGAATTTATCATTGTGGTTGTGATATTGTGACACTGCCTACTTCCTGATAATTTTGTATATTACAAGCATTGCATACTTTGTTTTGCTGTGTCTTACTGTTATTTTGTAGTTTGTTTATTCTGTGTATTCTTAATGTAATTATACTATTGTCCATTTGTGTTATATACTGATAAAGGCCTAATTTGCGGCATCATTTATTTTGTCTTTGATCATTGTACATTGAATAGTTTCTACTGCCTGTTTGAACTGATACATTTTTCATAATATTGGAAGCATTGCATACTTTGTTCTGTTATGTCTTAACTCCTTTAGCACCAGAAGTGTGGAGGCAAAAATAGATCATTACGGTCTGAAGAGAATGGAGCTGCAGGGAGTTACCAGGTGATCTAGCTGCACTCAGCACTCAAGGAAGAGGCGAGACTGATATACAAACAAACAGTTTCTGGTACCATCAGAACTGGAACTCTTCATTTGCTGCTGAAGATGTGGATGAAGCGCTTATGGGAGTGCCCCAAGTGCTGTGCTGTTGATTCTTAATTCAACATTCAACAGCACCAGAAGGTTTGAAGATCCCAACGAAATAGATAGAGGTGATTACAGTTAACAATCAAGTGTGATTTGTTTTTTGAATAGATAATGAAGTGACTGAAGGAGAAGCCAGATTTTCTTAGTATGTTGTGGCCAAATATAAAAAAGTAAAAGAATAATGCAGTGGTTGAAATATCTGGGGAATAGCAAATGAAATCTCATGTTTCTTGGGGGTACTAAAAAGTTACAATTATTTTGTACTTTGTTAATTATGTGTGGGAGTCACTGTGGCTTAGTGAAAGGTTGTAGGGTCGCTCCCTGGTGGAGCCGGACTTTTGTCAAAAATGAACCTGACTCCCATGTTGACCCAGCTTTGAGTGGGTACCGGGTGCAGTCCTGGGAAGTAAAGGAGGCTGGCATGATGCTGACCACATCACCCATCTTGTGCCGATTGGTATATAAAATATAGGTCTAGTCCTATATGCCCTGGAGGCCTAAAGGCTTGGAAAAGGGATCTTTAGCTTTTTTTTTTTTTAATATTATGTGTATTAAACTCACTCACAATATACATGGATGCTATGCTATATTTTAGGTGACAGTTACTGTCATAGCACTGTATGACTATCACGCCACGTCTGAGGATGAGCTTTCTTTCAAACAAGGCAGCTACATCACAGACGTTGTGACTACAGATCTGCAGTGGTAGGTTCTCCATTTTTTATTTTTATTTTACATAATGTGTTTCACTTGCTTGTCTGTGTATTATGTGAAGCATCTCAACGCGTTGAGATGAGTTGAGTTAAGTCAAGAATTTACATCACAGCACTCAAGGAATTTCCATGCATGCTCCATCCTCATCTTCAGCAGTCAGTGCAGAGTTCCAGTACTGATCAGTCACAATCTGCTTATGTGTCCATCTTGCCTTTCCTCTTGAGTGTAGTGAGCCAGCCAAACCCTCTTGTTTCACCCAGATGTATCATTCTCTCCAGGCCATAATAATCTTGTTTCTCTACTGAATCTGTTGCTTTTTTCCAAAGGGACTTGACCACATCTGCCTTGTATATCTCAATGCATTGAAGCTCCTTACTCAAAATATGTTGCTACTGAATTACCAAAAGTCTGGACTGAAACAGGGGGTTTCACATCTAACTTCATTTTAAGGGTGGTTGGTACATTATTTTGTGGTTTACAGCTAGGCTGCAATTTCAGCAAACCCCTTCTTCTTTTGTCATCTCCCTGACACCAGGTTTTAGCCCAGTGTCATGTTTTTCTGTATTTGTCTTGCGCTTCACGGGTGGCTTGGGGGATGAATTTGTTCATCTTTTTTTTGCAGGTATCAGCTACACCATTTATCTGTGTCTTTCTTGGTCTGCCTCTTGCCTTCCTCCCAGATGTTCTACTGTAAAAAGTCTCAAATGCAGTTTAGTCTGGATCAGTGTCTAATACACCACCAAGAACAGAAATTACAACACTATATTTGCTCCTTACATCTAGTCAACCTCCTATTCGCCTTTGATCTTCTTCTTCTTTGCACTCAGCTGCTATAAACAGATAGTTCTGGTTGTTTGTCCACCTCTGGGCTTTAGTCTTGTTCCAGAACCTTCTTATTGCGTGCACATCAATATAACGGATGTTACTTAATTGTGTGCAGATTGTTGGTTCATTGCCTCTCAGGAAGATGCACTCTGACTTCAAAGAAAGCCCTCAATTAGTCGACTCTTATGACATGCTTGTTGGGGAGGCAGTGGGTCTATTCTTGTTTCCCCCAACAATGGGGCCCCAGAAAACACAATGGGGTCCCAGAATCCACACTGGGGCTAACCTTTTAAGACATGCTTGTCAGGGGGCAGTGAGTGTGTTATTACCCCCTAAAATAGGGCCCTAAAACCAACTCAAAGAATCTTCAGTCTGTTGTTCTCCTCAATGTAAACGCTAAAATGAAGTAAGTATAGTAAAGGACTCTCTTCCACACCTTTGTGCTGTGTATGCCTATGCTGATCTTGATCTACTCTTCACGGACCCATCTGTGTAAATGACGACATCTTCTGGTCATGAATGCTGATCAGTCAGTGCCCTAATCTCAGCATCTACAGTGGCAGGTTTCCTGCAGTAGCTTTCCAGTGTTATGACAGCCTTAAACAAGTCATGCAGTCTACTGGTTTATCCGTCCATTCTTTTCCGTGACTGATCTCGTCTAGGTTCACATGCGAAGCAGGGATGTGTACTAATAATGTAAATGTAGCAGAAAGCCTAATACCACAAAGATGACAATGGTGATGATGATGACAATGGTGATAATGATGACAGTGATGATGGTGATGACATTGGTGATGATGATGACAATGGTGATGATGATGATGACAATGATGATGGTGATGATGACAACAATGGTGATGATGATGGTGATGACAATGGTGATGATGATGACAAAGGTGATGATGATGACAATTGTGATGATGACAACAATGGTGATGATGATGACAATGATGAGGGTGATGACAATCATGAGGGTGATGACATTGGTGATGATGACAACAAAAGTGATGATGACAACATTGGTGATGATGATGACAATGATGAGGGTGATGACATTGGTGATGATGATGACAATGGTGATGATGATGACAATGATGATGACATTGGGGATGTTGATGACAATGGTGATGATGATGACAATGGTGATGGTGATGATGATGACAATGGTGATGATGATGACAATGATGATGATGATGATAGTCTGGTGGTCTTAGTTTCAGCTTCATAGCAAACGGGTCACCCCATCTTTGCTCCGCTCCTGTGCCAACGAAAAACACACAGAATGTTTATCAGTCCCTTGTGGAAAGATTGACAGACTGCTGTCTCAGCATATCTAGCATAACTCTCATTAAAGCATACGGTAGCCATCCGAAGTGCTAACACAAACAGTCCGACATTAGAAATGGAGTTCATCATTGATGGTAGCTGAAGTCACCAACAGATCTGCAGTTGCCCACGCTATCAATTTTAATCACATAATGTGGCACTACCAAAATTGCGACGACAGGCATCGCGCCACTTTCTGAATCTACAATTCACACCACCACGTTGGTCACAGTTAAAAAACATTCCAAATGAAATCCGCAGCTCACAATGTCACGCCATGCATTCAACTCAGAAGCTGGGCGACGAAACTATATCCAGTCTACAAATGGAATAAAAATGCATCGCCCACTGTCCGGCAGAAGCAAAAAATCTGCCTCTGCTCCAAACAGTAGCCCGCCTAGCGTCCATTTTGACACAATGATGACGATGATGCTAATGGTGATTGTGATGATGGTGATGATAACGATGACAATGGTGATGGTGATGATGATGATCAATATATTACTGTATTTCCTAACTGCACCACAGGTGGAGAGGTAACCACGCGGGCAGTGTCAACAAACTGTTTCCGGCCAACTACGTCAAGATTGTAGAGAAAAGCGAAGAGGAGGGGATCTCCACCGGGCCATCTGAAGCTCTGCTACGCCTTTCTGAATGTCACATAGGTGAGTTTGGTCCAGATATTTCTGTATTATATCCTAAATCCAAATATTGTTGTTGATTTTTTTGGAGTTTAAAATGTGTTGTTTTTTTTAACATCATCTTCTTTTCTCTACTCCTGGAATGCCTCGCAGCATCAGGGTAAGATCTCCTCATTGTTCTACGAGCACTCAATCAATCACTCTGTTTGCTGGACCAGATACAATGTTTTTAAACTTCTTAGAATGTCACACTTGAACTAGACTGTCACATTCAGACTGGTATAACACAACTTCCACTCTAGGATGTCCGAAACTGAACCCAGTTAGATGCTAACTAACAAAAATTAACATCCACTTGCCACGCCTTCTTGACCGGAAATCAGTTTAAATAATGGTGATCTTTAGACAGGTCTGGCAAACCGGTAGGGAATTTATTTGTTTGACTGTTATTACTTGAGAATTATGAAGGAAAAGGTCTGGTTTCATTGTTTCATTAGAATGCAGCTTTAGGTTCAAGGTTTTGGTTTGAACAATGAATCATCATCATGGAACAAGGGTAGTAACACATAAGTGCTCCGTTCTACTTCTAACTTAAGCTGGAGTCCGAAGAATCTCAGCGCAGTACACGAGCTCCATAGCACCGACGAGGGTCCTGAAAATACTTAGGTAGATTTTCAACTCCAAATATTTTTGCCCGGGCAGCACGTCTAGGCTACTCTTTTTTATTTCCAACTGCCAAGGGGTTTTTTAAATGCTCAACAGGACACACAGGCATCTGGTCTTACTACCCAGAGACCAGGGGGAAATTACTAGAAGTCCTTGCAAAAACATCTCAGCCTTTACAGTGCTTGAACCAAGGACCTCCAGCACTCGAGACGGATTCCACGCCCCGAGACCACTCAGGGCCCCCCCCCCCCCCCCCCCATTAAAAGGCAGCCAGAACAACTACCCACATAGGCACTACACATGAAAAAATTTAATGTGAGAATAAAAGGTTGTGTAGGGGAATATGGACTGATGACATTAAAGATCTTCTGCTTGACAACACCATACCTTATACCAAAACACGAGAGGTTGCAGAACAAAAGTGGGCCAAGAACAAGATGAAAAAATAATGTCAGAGAAACTAAAAAGATGCAATAAGTTCCTGACTGAGATGACCAGAAGAGGGTCAATATTTCCAAAAGAGGAAGTGACAAAGAATAGGAAGAAGAAGAAGAAGCACTTTCTGGAATCATTATGAACAGACAACTCAATGAAGATTCCACTTTTGAAGAAAATATAATTCAACAACTCTGTGAAGATTCCACTTTTGACAGAAATATAATTAGACAACTCATTGATGATTCCACTTTTGAAAGAAATATAATCAGACAACTCAATGAAGATTCCACTTTTGAAAGAAATATAATCAGACAACTCAATGAAGGTACCACTTTTGAAAGAAATGTAATGAGACAACTCAACAAAGATTCCACTTTTGAAAGAAATATAGTTAGACAACTCAATGAAGATTCCACTTTTGACAGAAATATAATTAGACAACTCAATGAAGATTCCACTTTTGAAAGAAATATAATCAGGCAACTCAATGAAGATTCCACTTTTGAAAGAAATATAATCAGACAGCTGAATAAAGATTCCACTTTTGAAAGAAATATAATTAGACTACTCAATGAAAATTCCACTTTTGAAAGAAATATAATCAGACAACTCAATGAAGATTCCACTTTTGAAAGAAATATAATCAGACAGCTGAATAAAGATTCCACTTTTGAAAGAAATATAATTAGACTACTCAATAAAGATTCCACTTTTGAAAGAAATATAATCAGACAACTCAATGAAGATTCCACTTTTGAAAGAAATATAATCAGACAACTTAAATAAGATTCCAATTTTGAAAGAAATAAAAACAGTTAACTCAGTGAGTTAAATAAAGACTGCACTTTTAGATCATCTTAGAACTCAGTACAAATGAGCCGCTGTTGCACCTCCGGTGGTGAGCTACTTTATGATAAAACAGATCTTGTAAAGGCTCTGTGAGATCAAATGCTCAGTACAGTAGAACATTGTAAAGACTAACTGAGACTAGCTGGAGGTGAGTAGGAGGTTCTGGAAGATATTCAACACTGAGGGGAAAACATAGGACTTTTAACCCAGTTGCAGCTGGTACTGTAAGCATATCCGCTCTTTGTTGGCTAATGAAGAAGGGGACGGAGCATGTTTGGGAATGTCCCTGAGTGCAGTGATGTCACTTCTTGATTCATTCATTCAGGCAGAACTTGATTAACTCCTTGAGTCCCAAGAAATGCATCATATGTTCATAGATTCCTACCTAGAAGCTCAATGAACGCATGATGCGCCATTTTCATGTCTCTTTTGATTACCCTTGGGCCTGTATGTTAAACCCCCTGGGACTCAAAGAGTTAAAAATCAGAACCATTCTAACCATGTAGATTATGGTGACCCATTTTCGAACAAAGACTAGACCCACTTGCCCTGACCCCCCCCCCCCCCCCCCCCCCACCTCCCATAATAAGCGTGTTGTAAGAGGCAACTAATTAGAGATGTTTCTTTCCAAATCTGAGTGCATACACCTGAGAGGTGAGGTACCACTAGCCTAAAATCAAATAAGCCAGAACTTTAAAAGGTGTGTGTGCACTCAAAAACTCAAGTTCTGAATCAGACAAACAACCAGAACTTTCCACCAGATTATGCAACTGATGAATGCTAAGAAAATGAAACAATTCATTTTTGGCAACGTTTACAGTAATGCAACTTTAATTTAGCTCTTTTCAAATTCTAACTCTGTCTATGACTGTTTTGTTTACTGCTGCACTGGAATTCTAGCTACCCACATCTTGCTTCAGGTAATGCGCTTCTTGAAATGATATTTTTTCCTTGTTCGGTTGTCCATTTATTTAGTATGTGTTATTAAAATGTGTCGGCTCTGTGGCTAAGTCAAAGCGAAAGCTTCGTAATGCCGGGATGCCGGGTTCAATCCCAGCTGCAGGCCATGCGCCTTGCGTTGGTTTCGACAGTGGTATCTAGAAAGCCGACTGTTCAGAAAGCAATGGCAAACTACTGGACGTAAATTTGCCTAGAAAAACCACAGAGCAGCCAGGGGCTTTTGGGGTTGGTTCTGCAACGTCCTGTAAAGGATATGCAACTAACCTATTAAAATGTAACTAGTTACTGAGTTATCAAACTGAGGGTTGTATATTTGTATTGCTTAATAAGTTATCTACTATTGTTATGTTTCATTCTGATCCAGCTTTGTGTGTTATGAGTTAGATTATCCTCTGGGGCACTTAGGGCATGCCTAAAGATTCTCAAGTTCCCCTCTCATGCTATTCATGAGTGTCCCTGAATCTAGTCACTTCTGGGAGTGACATAGCCTGTCAATGACTATATATGGTCACTCCTACACAGTTTGCCTCAGAAAGTTGCTGAACATAAAATGGCAAGACAGGATCCCTGACACTGAAGTCCTTTACAATCCGGTATTTACTTGATTCTAAAACAATCACAACTTAGCTGGGCAGGTCATATAGTCTGCATGCCTGACCACCGACAGCCAAAAAGAATTTTCTATGGTGAGCTACTTAAAAGAAAACGTTTTCAAGGTGGACGGGAGCAATGTTTTAAGGACAGCCTCAAGACCTCACTGAAAGACTTCTGTATTGATCCTAAAACCCAGGGAGTCACTGCATGTGACCGCTCCTCCTGGAATTAATAAAACATACCGATCGCCCAGCAGTGAAATGTATTGATATGTACAATATTTGCAGTCTTTGAAAACACTGCGGTAGTAATGTGTGGCATGGAGTTTCTAAAATAACAACCTGTATAAACATTTTGATTCTAAATTTATTCTCACTTGAAGAGATGCATAAGCTACACATGATGAATGAAGTTACTACAGGTGTAAAAAAACTGAGTCCCATTAGCCTTCAGACAATTTTCATAACCTAAATGCAAAACATAGATACCTTCTTCTTCTTCTTCGCGTTCACCAGCTGTAAATTCTGGCGGAAAGTTATGGTTATTCAACCACTTCTGGACTGCAGTCCCGTTCCAGAACCTGAGTGTTGCGTGTGCATTCGTTTTACAGATCTGACTCATTTGTATGCAGACTGCTGGTTCCTTGCCTCTCAGGCAGATGAACTCCGAAACTATGAAAATGTTTATGCATTTCACTGCTGGACGATTACTCTGCGTATGTGTGTGTGTGTATATATATATATATATATATATATATATATATATATATATATATATATATATATATATATATACACACACACACACACACACACACACACACACACACACACACACACACACACATATATATATATATATATATATATATATATATATATATATATTTTTTTTTTTTTTTTTTTTTTTTTTTTTTTTTTGCTGACTGTATTTACTGCAGACGGCCAGTTTTCATAATTTTGTGGTGTGCCCTCTCACAGACAGCAACATCCAGCCTGGGGATGGCATGCATTATTTCCTGCTAACACACCCCACCCAGCCAATCATTTGGGTTGGTTCACACGTGAAAGCAGAAATAGACGACTGGTTGCGGTTGATACTGCAGTGTAAAACCAAAATTGGTGCAGAGGTGAGTGCTACTACTTGATATTATGTATGTAAACTTATGAATAAGGATGGCTATCCATTAAAAAAAAGTTCTTATAACTGGCAATGTTATAACCTAATTCAGTAACCTTCTTCTTCTTCTTCTCTTCCACCTTGTACCTCAGCAGAGTTTCAGGATGAGATGTAACATTTGTTGATGAGCTCTATCAAGAGCACTATTAAGTCTGATGTTCATTTCTGTAAGGCTGTTCTTAATGCCAACACTAAATCTTCTCCAAGGTCTTCTACTCGCTCTTTACCCGTTGGAATGTTTCAGTGTGGCTCGCTGTGGCGGATAGTACCTGGGCATTCTTGTTAGGTGTCCAAACCACTTCACTTGTTGTTCTTTGATGACGTGTAAGACTGGCTTTATTCCTAGCATTCATCTGATTTCATGATTTCGTATTCTGTCTTTCCTTGAAACTCCTGCAGCTTTTCTAAGGCATTTCATCTCTGTTGCCACAATTTTACTTTCATTGGAGGATGTAAGTGTCCACGTTTGGCACTGATAGCATAGTGTGCTAAGCTCAGTAACCAGATAAGAGAAAATACGCACACATATACATATAGCTTCTGTAGCACAATAGCTAGATGCTTTCCTGTCAGCCTTCAAAGGTCTTAGGTTTGAATCCACAGTGAGGTGGATTTGTATAATTTACCTACAAGTCAGTAATGCCACCTGTCAACTGAACCCAATTTTGAAACAGCTGGCTATCCCAGTAGAGACAAAAAGACAAATTATAAATGACAACTTCATACCAACCTTGTGCTGTCAGTGTCAGACTGGGACATTGACTAAACAACATGAAAGAAAACTGACCACCTGCAAATTGAGATGTGTGAGAAAGGGTAACAAAACCAGAAGAGATCATCAGAGAAACAAGGAAATTACAAAAACTTTTGAAAGAACGCCTGTAATTAAATTTGTTGAAAAACAAAGACTGAAATGGTTTGGTCATTTAATTTAATGAATCCAGTGATTCGGGCAACGAGAATGTACAACATAAAAGTAGAAACACGAAGATGTAGGAGCGACCAGGAAATATGGATTGAAGGAGTCACTGATACCTTCAAACTCCACAACATCACACCGCTCGCTTTCAAATCCAGCTGCCACTCGCTGCAGTCACGGTCAGTGTTCGAAACCAGGCGGTTCCCGGGGTTCACCCAGCCTCTAGGAAATGGGTACCAGAGTTGACACTCTGGGGTGAATGGAGGAACGTGGGTGTAGCTACTGGGTTATGTTTGGACGGCGACACAGGCGGACAGTTTCTTATCAGCTGTCCGTACTGGTGGCAGAGCACTTATGGTTTATAACCGTTTGCAATGATGCTGGTTCACATCTCCCGACTTTACCTTTACCTTTTAACAAAACACCATACTGGGGCAACCTAGCTCAGATACCAGTCATCTGTTAACCTGCCACACTCAACAGAATATGGACAAAAGAAAGAACCTAGGGTTGTCAGGTGAACTCAGCTTAAAATGGTTCCTGGAAAATGTCTTAGAAAGTAAAGCTCACCATTGTGATCTTTATCACATCACCCTTTCCATGCAGATTTGTCTTTAAAATACAGGTCTAACTTGAGTTTTTCCCCTAGAAATTTGGTTTCTGGTACTCACCAAAAGGCGTCTGTGGCTCAGGCATTGCAAATGCCCTTTATAATGCCCGGGTGCCAGGTTTGATCCCAGCTGTGTACAATTTGTCTTGCATTAGTTTTGACAGTTGTACCAAGAGCTGACCGCTCAAAAAGCAATGGCAAACTTCTTCTTCTTGGAGTCCATGCCGTGTGGCATTGGTAGTCATGTCTATCCACAACCTTCTGTCTCGTGTACTTTCAATCAGCTCTGACACTGATGATCCTCCATGCCATGATGTCAAACTGTCCAGCATCTATTCTCTTGGTCTCCCTCTGCCTCTCCTTCCCAACTTACTGTCACGATGTAGTCCAGTTTTCTCCTTCTCATCACATGACCAAAGAATGTAGATTGTTTCTTTAATAGCAAACTACGGAACATAAATTTACCTAAAAAAACTGCAACAGCCAAAAAAATACTGGGGTTGGTTCTGCAATTTCCTGTAAAGGATATGCATCTAACTCATCAAAAAGTGTTTACAAAGGGTGCCAGTACTCATCACAAAGTGTCTGCTATTGTAGAACTGAAAACTCAGTGCTTTAAAAAAAAAGTGTACCTTTTGCATACTGTCAGAAAAAAGCCCTGGGTTTAGCACCATATGCATGATATATCTTCTGTGTGAAGTTTCTTCAGATACTTTACTTTGTTCATTGTTCTTTTAAAGATCATCCTCATCGGACATGATCATACTTGCTCCATCTCCTCCTGAATATGTCTCCAAGTGTTGTTAGGCTAACAACTCCCATTCTGTTCTGGCTGATGTAATGACCTGTGTCTCTCGCATGGTTTTCCTGTCTCGCTTCTCCAACTGGTACACCCAGGGTATGAAGCCTCTTCTGTGAAAAATCATTTTTCATTTTACTTTATTATGAATTATAAATCAAAGTTGACTGTTTGTTGAGGCAAGCAGTAAGCTGTAACATATGTTTTTGATTAAGGTCGAGAGGCTCAATTTTACTACATCAGGTTTTATCTCATTTGGCTCTACCTTATTGCATCAGGTTTTATCCTGTGTGGTCAGCTTTTTTGCATCAGATTTTATCCCATTTGGTCAACTTTACTGCATCAGGTTTTATCCCATTTGGCTCTACCTCATTGCAATAGGTTTTATCCTATGTGCTCAGCTTTTTTGCATCAGATTTTATCCCATTTGGTCAACTTTATTGCATCAGGTTTTATCCCGTTTGGTCAACTTTATTGCATCAGGTTTCATCCCATTTGGTCAGCTTTATGGCATCAGGTTTTATCCCTCAGTCTCCCCACAGAATGGCTAATGACCTGCTGAGATCATCACACAAAGCACAAACTCTGTAGCTCCAGACTACCCAAGGATCTCTATAGCAATTGCACTCATGAACCAAATGACACAGTCTGTGAAATCAACCTACGACCTTCAGAGCATGAGGCAAGCAGTTTGACTCATGAAGACCCCCAGATTTCTTTGTTTGATGTGTAATTTTGCCTGACTATTGTTTGTTATTAATGTCCTCACAGAGCATGGAAATTCAGAGACAAGAACGTTCTAAAAATATTGCCCAAGAACTCTCTGACCTCGTGGTGTATTTCCAGGCGGTTCTGTTCAACCCAGCTCGTAAGTTAGCTACTGTAAAATTTGTACCCATCTGTTATTAAGTGAATAGACGTCGCTTGGCGCAACAAAGTCTGGCATATGATATCACAACGTCTAGTTTGAGAATGGAGGTGGAGGCAGTCACTGCTGCCTTCAGCTGGCTTGAGAATTAGCTGTACACACACGCCATCATTGTAACTGACTCACAGAGCATGTTGAGAAAGGTGAACACAGGCATGCTCCGTGCAGAGTGGCAAGCATCACCTCAGAGGTCCTGGGTAGTTAGCATCCTTTGTATATTGTCTCCTGGTCATGCCGGTGTGTTGGGAAATGAGCAGATAGACTGGCCGGTTCTGCACCACTTAGTGGTGAACTGATGTGTGACAAGCTGGATGTTGTGAGGACCCGAGGAACAGATAGATCATTACGGTTTGAGGAGAATGGCACTGCGAGGAGTTACAAGGGGATCTGGCTGGCGCTCGACACTCAGGGGAAAGGCAAGACGAATATACAATCAGACAGTTACTGCTACCATCGGAATTTTAACTCTTTGCTTGCTGCTGTAGGTGAGGTTGGAGTGCTTATGGGGGTGTCCCGAGTGCTGTGATGTTGATTGTTAATTCAACATTCTGTTACTAACCCTTTCACCACCAGAGGACAGTTGAACTAGTTAAAAATCAACTCATAGTGCTTTCCTTGGTACCCAAAGAGTGAAGGCTCAGAAGGGAGATGACCAATAGTAACACTGTAACCTACCATATTTCCTTCTCCTTCTTCATGTTGTAAACTCAGGAAGAAAGTTTTGGTTGTTCGTCCACTTCTGGACTGTGGCCATGTTCCAGAAATTGGTTCCTTGGTTCCGCAACCAGCAAAAAGTTCAATTTCCAATGGTACCAGTAGCACTTTGATTATGTGTTATAAGGTGGATTCTCTTTACAGCACTCCTGACACATCCATAGGTGCTCAGATTCCCCTCTCAACTTATTCATCAGTGTCGCGCAGTTATTACCGACAGTCCTATACTGGTTGACAAGACTTTGCAAATGTCCGGTGTGCTTCTCATGCTTGGTTGTGCTGATCTTTACTCCCAATTCTCGTATTCTTAGCAGTGATGTGGACACTTTGCTTCCAAAATCCTTAGAACATCCTATCTCTTTAAGGGCAATGACAATGTCTGCATGATCCATAGGTCGGCAATCTTCAGTTAATGCCAGTCTGTCAGCTCTTTCATTACCAACAACATCTGCATTCCCTAGGACAAATATGAAGGTAACTGCACACACAGGAGAATTTTGCAATGACTCAAACCACTGTCTGCATAACCAGCCTGCCTCGACCCGCTGGATACTTTGATTATCTGTCCATGTTGCCTTTCCTCTGAATATAGATTGTCAACCAGAACCCCTGGTCACTCCTGACTGCACCATTCTCTGCACACTGTAACATTCTATTTGCACTTTCACATTGTTCACTTGCTTCCAAAGGCTGAACCACATCTAGCTTGCAATGCATCAGTGTTGTTTTCACAGTCCACATCACTGCTTTCCCAATCAGTGGTGCAACATCAGGCCAATCTATCTGCCTGTTCATTTCCCGACACACCTGCCTACCCCACAGAAAAATATCCAAAGAACACCAGTTACTGGGGATCTCCAGAGCAATTTCCATAGTCGAGGTATACATGTCATAAGATTCCACTGAGGAGTCTGGCAAGAGATTGACTAATTCATTCATAGAAAATGTTAGCTGATGACCCAACCAATCCTAAACAAGACTACAAAAGGCTTGGCCCAAATGGTTGAAAATCTGTAATCCATTCATAGATGAAAAGTGGGAGTAGAAGACCAAATCACTAAATAGCCACTGAAGGTGGGATGGAAACTTGTATTCTATTCTTTCAGTACCAACAACTCATTGTACATTAATTGCAGTGAAAACCAGCCTAAGTGAGCATTACAATAAAACAACCATGATTTTCAAAATAATGTTTTTCACATTTTAAATTTTAATAATGCGGTTACAAACAATATATTGCACACTTTATCATCATCATCATCATCATAAACCACTTCTGCCATTAAGCGTCGTGGGTAGGAATCATTTGCGCAGTTTATTGCCTGGCATATGTCACTGATCTCGTCAGGATAATTACTATAGAGTTAAATCAACACATAGTAAGGCTTAAAATGAATCCTTTTCTTGCTGAAATGCGGGACTGAGCTTCAGGGGGTAGGAAGTGTTGGTGTTGTGAGTAGGAGCATTCATTGCGGTGTCAGACTCTTGACCTAGCCTAACTTCTCATACCCCAAGACCATTGTGTGTGGCGATAAGTCACAGCCTCCCCGAAGTAGTCCTGGTAACTGGGGGTGCGACACCCCCCCCCCCCCCCCCCCCAGGCAAAATAATGGATCTAGAGGAGCAAACCTCGATTAAAAAAACCAGTGACCACACCTGTAGGAGGGAAGGAGCTGGAGGTATGCTGAACAGTCTTAGGAATGGAAACAAGTATGCTAACCCCCCTGAATACCGGAAACAATCGTGAAAGCACAGGGACTCAGGACGTGACGATCCAGTTGCCCCAACTACTCATGCTTAGGCCATGCTTAGAGCCATGAAGAGCTCAGCAAAACCTGCAGTGGCGGGGAATGAACACACTGGGAGCCCCACCTTAGCTACGTGTTAAAGAGGAAGGCAGAAACACAACCCATATTTCATTTTAGAACTGACACAGCACATTTCTGGCTGCTGCCCGGGGAGGTAGGTAATCCACAGACACACCAGCACCACAATGCCATAAATATGAACAACTTGCTGAAATGCATATACAACATTGTTGAGTTGCTGTACGTCTATATGGTATGTACTTTTTTCACCAAAAATGTGGTCCTGAATTGTTTCATGAGGATTTTGCTATTATTTTTAGTTTGATTAATTCTTTGATAGTAAAGGTGGATGTTTTTATGTTTCAGGTCAAGGCAAATTTTTTGAAATCTCCTCCTTCAGTGAAGAACGCATCGGCAAGGATGACAGGTTTATTATACAGTGAGTATATGCCACTTGGTATCCTTCCATCTCAACCTCTGAAATGTTCTAGTGTGTCTTTATCTTTTTCCTTATATTATACTCTCTGTAATCCCAGTAGAGCATAGGTGCTCTTAAACCACATCATCTTGTCCTTTACTGTTGCATGCAGTTCATCTCATGTCCTCCAAATCTTTTTTCATTTAACTTTTTCAGTACCGGGGGTTTAGCATCAGAGGGCCGAGGAGTAGTTAAGAGAGACGTAAAATCAGAACATCTTGCCATCATTGGGCTTCTAGGTGTGTGTTGTCCTTCAAGATGATGATGACCACTCTTTTTCATCAAGTATGAGTACGAAGATGACTGGTGAGGCCGATGTGGGCCGGAAAAGTTTTTGGACAGTGAGGACAGGGAATGGGCGTTGTGCCAGGGAGGAGATCTCCTGCAGTCGCCTTTCTGTCCATCCTTTTCTTAATAAGTCTTGCTGTTCTGTTTGCGTCACATATAGCCGCACCCTTGTGTAGAGCTGCACGCCATGCATTACGGTCTTGAGAGGCAGCCTCCCAGTTAATGTCATTCATCCCAAATGCTTTGAGTGAAGACTTCGAGGTGTCCTTAAAGCATTTCTTTTGCCCGCCTTGGGAACGTTTCCCATTTTGCAGCTCACCATGAAAGAGTTTTTTTGGGAGCCTGTGATGTGGCATGCGTGCCACATGACCAGCCCAATTAATTTGATACTGCGTTCATCATTGCTTCTAGGTAGCAACCTATGAACGTATGATGTGTTCCTTGGGACTGAAGGGTTAATCCTCTAATTCTCTTCTCCACGTGTCTTTTTAATTTAATCTTTACCCATTTCTTGTTACCAAGTTGGTTCCAGTGCTAGAGCATTCTGTTTATATAATTATCAGTATCATTATACTGGTTCTTTTGGGTCTGTCCTTATCCAGCATCTTTTCTCAACTCTTGATTCATTGGAACTTGTTTAGCTCCATCCCAAAAGTTTAGTTCTTATTGTTATATACAAACAATTGATAATTTTTTCCCCCTGCAGTCTTATTTATTTATGATGAAGCAGATGTGGGGAACTATATTTGGCATCAAGTGAACAGTGCAAGAGAGCAATCACAGTGTCCATATCTTGAAAGACTTGTGTAGGCTTGAAAAAATCTTAAGTAAAGGTAGGAGTGAGTCAAGACATCAGAACAAAAATCAGACTTGTGCAGGTTTCTAATCACATTGGGCTGGGAGTGCAGAGATTGGCCTGTGGGCACCGCAGAATGATACATTCGACAACTGGATTTATGACCATTTCTGACCAGGTGATGTGAGGTTTGAGGCTAGAACAATGGATCAACATCAGGGCACACAGGTAATAACCCATTAGTGCTCCATTCTTCTTCTAACTTAAGTCTGAGTACAAAGAAGCTCAGCACAGTACACAGGCTCTGTAGCACCGGTGTGGATCCTGAAATACTTTGGGTAGCTTTTAACTCCAAATTTTGCCTGGGCAGCGCCGTTTGGCTACTCTTTTCTATTTCTAACTGCCAAGGGATTTTTTACATGCGCAACAATGATCATGGGCATCCGATCTCACTACCCAGAGACCAGGGGGAATTAAGTGAAGTCCAAGTCTACGTGAAGAAATCCCAGCTCTACTGGGGATTGAACCCGGAACCTCTAGCACTCGAGGCACCATGCCTTGAGATCACACAGCCCGCTCAGGTGATGTGATTATATAAATAGTGCTGTGTTTAGCGGCAAGAAAAGTGCGATTGAGGGATGATTTCAAAAGCAAATAGATTGCATTTAGTGCATTGAAGCCTAGGATATGATGCCACAACATATATTTATTTAGAATTGAAAACAGTCACAGCTTCTTTCTGCAGGCTTAAAAACAAACTTCACACCCATGTTGTGATTGTAACAGACTTACAAAGCTACTGAGAAAGGTGGGAAAAGGGCATGCTACTTGCAGAGAAAAGATATAAAACTGAATGAAAATGAATCAGTGAGTTTCATAGTATAACAACACAATTGAAACGTGAACGTTGCGGCTATAGTGCCTTCATCAGCACATACATAAATCAAACAAAACTACATAAATATACAAAATCACTTACTTGACGTAGCCCGCAGCAGTGCTATGTTGATGTCTTGCCTGTGGAATGCTGGTGTAGAGAGGCAAGCTTCATTTCAGAAGTCTCTGCTAGTCCTTTGGATCTTTTCTCTAGTGAATGCCGGTGTGCTGGGAAATGAACAGGCAGGTAAATTGGCTGGAAATCCACAACCAAGTATTGAACTTATGCATGACCGGCTAGATGTGGTCAAAACCTTTTGGGAACACTGTGGAAGCCTGAATAGATCATTACAGTCTTGAGATCATGACGCTGTGGGGAGACTTCTTCTTCGCGTTCACCGGCTGTAAACTCTGGTGGAAAGTTCTGGTAGTTTGTACACTTCTGAACTGCAGTCCTGTGTTGCATGTGTATCCGTTTGACAGATCTCATTTGTGTGCAGACTGTTGGTTCCTTGCCTCTCGGGCAGATGCACTCTGACTTGGAAGGAAGCGCCCAGCCCAATAAGTCGACTCTTACGACATGCTTTTGGGTAGGCAGTGGGTCTGTTCTTGTTTTCCCTATAATAGGGCCCTAGAACCCACATAGGGAGCTGTGGGGAGTGTGGCCAGGACATCTGGTCAAAACACAAAAGAAAGGCAAAACAGGCATACTTATAATCAGACTGCTACTAGTGCTATTAGAATTGGAACTCTTGACTGGCAGCTGAGGAGGAGGATGGAGCACTTAAGGGATGTCAGTTATTAACTCAGCTCAACTCTTGTGGAAAGGATCTTTCAGATGGTAGTAAGCAGAGGGTCACTGTGGCGAAGTGGTCAAGCCGTTTGCCTCATTCTCTAAAGGTCATGGGTTAGTTTCACAGCTACACCCTTCAGTTCTTGAGTTTCATTGTTTACAGAGATCACTGGGGATCGTCGCATGGATCAAACTCTGTGCAGCACTCTTGGCTAGCCGCTCTACAGAGATAGACTGAGCCATTTGGGATAAAACCCTTTGTAATGAAGTCCATCCTCTCGACTTTTTAACCTTTAACCTCTAGAGGGTCTGGAATTTCCAAGTATCAATAATATTTACCCAGCAGTTGGGTTCAGGGGTCAGGAAGAGGCATTACCTACTTTTTATTTATGGTCATAGAGAGGTAAATCAGTACATTTTCTGCTGCATTAACTCTTTCAGTCCCATTGGAGTATCTATCATACATTCATAAGTTCCTACCTAGAAGCCCCATGAACGCAAGATGTGCTGATTCCAGTCTCTTTTTACCACCCCTTGGGCCTATGATGCTAAACCCCCTGTGACTGAAAGAGTTTTATTTTCTTCGATTACTCCTAATTATTACAAATGTTTATTCAATTCTTCGTCTTCACGTTTACCGGCTGTAAACTCTGGCGGAAATTTCTGGTTGTTTATCAAGTTCTAGACTCTAGTCCTGTTCCAGAAACTGAGTGTTGTGTGCACATCTGTTTTACGGGTCTGACTAATTTACTTGCAGACTGTTAATTCTTTGCCTCTTAGGTAGATGTATTTAGACTTTGAAGGCCGCTTCCAGTTAGTCGACTTTTGCGACATGCTTGTTGGGCAGGCATTGGGTCTATTCTTGTTTTCCTCCACAATGGGACCCTGGAACTCACACAGGGATTTATTCAGTGAAAATATATATATATTTTTTTTTTATAACTTTGAATTTAAAATTATATTGCTGACCTGTGTAATAAGGTTGTGTTCTTTTTTTTTTTTTTTTTTAAGTCCTAAAGGTTCAATACCATTTTTATTTAGCATTAACTGGGTGAAAGGGTTGCAGATTTTTTTTGCTGGGGGAGGGAGGTGGGGGGGGGGGTTTTGCTGAAATACTGGTCATTGGCTTTTTTTTTTGGGGGGGGGGGGGTTTCTAAGTCACTGGGGCAAAAGTGTTGAAGAAATATCAAATTTGTAATGTTTAAACTGTGTATTATCTGCACAACTAACCAGATACAACCAGAATCAAATCAGCAGAGTCTACCCCAAGTTCTTCCGATTAACTTCCACAAATTTTGATCCAGTGCCCAAATGGAATGTTGGGTGTCAGATGGTGGCCTTGAACTACCAAACTCCAGACAAATACATGCAGATCAACCAGGCAATGTTTGCCCAGAATTGCAGGTAAGCTTTTTTGTTAGTTTTTTTGTTTGTTATTATATTGTCATTCTTTATTTTGTTATTTCTCTGTTTTCTCCTTTCACTTACATACTGCTTATCTCTATCCTTTTTTTTTCCACTTCTTTCATTTGGCCATTGAGTTAACCGTATGTGTCGATTCCTCCCCACATTCCGTTTATGGGGACAGCTTTTATCGAATTTGTTGTGGCACGGTGATTTATGTCACAGGCGTGAGGGAAAGTTAAGTCCAACACGATTTGTATAAGGAGATACTCTGTCGTCACTCGGGCGCCAGTCCTTCACTGTTCTGGTTGTACGGAACCTCACGCAAGACCCCTGCAGCACGTCCTCGTCGTGCACCACGGATAATGTCTCAAATGAGCATTAACAGAGCTGTCAGGGGATTTCGGAGTTTGGCGGCCCCCATAGGTGATGTGTCTTTGTGGCTCTCATCAGCCCGCCCCCAAACGCATGGGTGAAAAAGGTTATCAAAACTCATTAGGAACATGAGTAAAGTGCTTGCCTAACGTACAGCTAAAATTACAACCCTTGGTTAAAAGATTGTGGAGTGAAGAGAACATTGTTCTGCTGAGACTCAACCCTTGACCTAGAGATTTACCCGCAGCACAGACGAGTAACATCTCCTATGGGTGGCGTCTCGCAGCAAGATTCTACCCATGTACATCCTCTGTTAACCCTCAGTGTCGTCGTCACTGCGCTGAGGTACACCAAGACAGCTATCATCCATCGGCTGGCTAAGCCTAAGTCCAACAAAACTAGAACCTACGTCACACGAGTAAGCTCAAAATCTGACCATCACAAATCGTATTGAACGGAAAAAGTCCAAATGTCCACACCAAAAGACCCCACTCGCTCGAGTGCTGGAACCAAACAGATAACGATATGCCTGACGAAGGATGTTGAATTTTGTCGGGCTAACGGCTCGTCAAAGATACCTAACGTGCGAATAAAAAGAAGTACCTATTTGGGTGGTCACAAAAGTCCAGAATTCGCGGGCTGCTCCCCGCTGACTTCCGGAGGGCGCAGCCCTTGTCAAGCGGGAGGCCTAATACGGTTGTGAGGTCAAGCAGGCATGTGCAGGACGTGGCGATTCCTTGGGTGAGCCCAGAACCAGAGCATCATGTGCCGGCTCTGCAAAAATGGAAGCCTCCTTGGATGGCGGGCAATGCCCATGATCTGCCCCTGCCTTCCCTTGAGGGCCAACCGTTCCACAGGGGGCTGCCCCAAAGGGGTACTTTGGGGGCAATACCTGTGGAAAAGGAGACAAAGTGGACACCACACAAATCAGGCAACGTCTCGACCCACACAAAACAATGGTCACAGTCAACCTAGAAATAGGCCTGACGTCTTCCTTCGAAGTCGGAGTACAGCTGCCCATGAGGCAGGGAACAGCAAAACGGTTGTACACGCAAAACTCAGGTCCAGGTAAAAGCCAAAAGTCCAAGCGGACGATTAACCGGGACCTTCCGCCGGAATTCACAGCCAGTGAACGAAGAAGAAGAAGAAGATCGAATTTGTTCTCTAGACAGTCGCAGTCCCCTGCTGACGAGATTCTGTCTTCCCGAGTGGACCGCCGCAATCAAATCATTGCGAAGGCAGCGTGGTTGAGGCTGCCAAAACTATCAGTCATTATCTCGCCCCGACACAGCACAACCACAATACACACTGCTCCCACAAACACATAGTATCCTGCTTTGGAAATGCGCATAAAATAGCAGTTCATGATTATGAAACAGAATAATCCGAGAGAATTGACAGCCAGTGAAAATAAACTCAGCTGCTGTCCGCCATTTTGAAAACGGAAGTCATCCCATCACTTCTTTCATTTGTATTCTTTTTTATTTCTCTTTCTTTTATGTACATCCCTTTTTTTATCTTATTGTTTATATCCACTTTACTTCTTTCATTCATATCTCTTTCTCTTCTTTCATTTTCGTCTCTCATACATACCTTTGATGATGGAAAACTTTCTGCACATAAGCAGCTCCCGGAGAGATGCATGGAAATTTATTACTATGACTAAAATCCATATATAGAAGGGGAAAGAATGCCCACTGGATCTTTAGAGTATTTTCCCCTAAAGATAAAGTCAAGGAGAATAACCAATGATTGTATTTTAAGGAAACAGTATATCCACCAAACTAATGACACAATGTTATTAGGATGTCTGAGTATTCATAGGCCATTTTCTATCATAATCATGAGACAAATCAAACAAAATGTTAAAAAATACAAATTTCATTTTAGACATACATAATTACATAAATATATAAATTTAAAATAACAAATATATATTCTGAGAACACAGTTAATATTATATATTCCAATTATAACTCTAAGGGTTGAACAGGATATTTTTTCAAAATTACTACTACTTCCTTTCCTGCCTTCCATTTATAGTTGTGCTTTACCTTCTTAAACTTGTTTATCCACTTAGTACCTTTTCACCCTTCTACTTCTCATCCATTTCCTTTACTAAGCTGAATCTGTCTTCCATCACAAAGGTGTGGCTATGTCCTGAAACCAAGGTTCATGAACAGCGCCCAGTACAATCCATCAGACGTGCTGTCACTGACGGAAAACGTGGAGGCCGTGGTTCTCACTGTTACAGTTCTGGGTGGCAGAAATCTGGGCAGCATGACTTCGGTTGTCGGGGACATGCAGCCGTTTGTGTCTGTGGAGGTGCTGGGGCTTCCTTTGGACTGCCAGAGGGAGAGGACAAGGATATCTTTGGGTATGGCTGGTTGTTTGATTGGTTAAGTTGAGGGTTGGTTGGTTGTTTTATTGGTCAGTTGGTTGTGTAGATGTGTTGATTGGTTGAGTTGAGGGTTGGCTGGTTGTTTGATTGGTCAGCTGGTTGGGCAGATATGTTGATTGGTTAAGTTGAGGGTTGGTTGGTTTTTTGATTGGTCAGTTGGTTGGGTAGATGTGTTGATTGGTTGAGTTGAGGGTTGGCTGGTTGTTTGATTGGTAAGTTGTTTGGGTAGATGTTTTGATTAATTAAGTTGAGGGTTGGTTGGTTGATTGATTGGTCAGTTGTTTGGGTAGATGTTTTGATTAATTAAGTTGAGGGTTGGTTGGTTGATTGATTGGTCAGTTGGTTGGGTAGATGTTTTGATTAATTGAGTTGAGGGTTGGCTGGTTGTTTGATTGGTCAGTTGGTTGGGTAGATGTTTTGTTTAATTGAGTTGAGGGTTGGTTGGTTGTTTGATTGGTCAGTTGGTTGGGTAGATGTTTTGATTAATTAAGTTGAGGGTTGGTTGGTTGATTGATTGGTCAGTTGGTTGGGTAGATGTTTTGATTAATTGAGTTGAGGGTTGGTTGGTTGATTGATTGGTGAAGTTGTTTGGGTAGATGTTTTGTTTAATTGAGTTGAGGGTTGGTTGGTTGTTTGATTGGTCAGTTGGTTGGGTAGATGTTTTAATTGAGTTGAGGGTTAGCTGGTTGTTTGATTGGTCAGTTGGTTGGGTAGATGTGTTGGTTGGTTGAGTTGAGGGGTGGTTGGTTGTTTGATTGGTCAGTTGGTTGAGTATATGTGTTGATAGTTGAGGTTTGGTTGGTTGATTGGTCAGTTGGTTGGGTAGACGTGTTGGTTGGTTGAGTTGAGTGTTGGTTGGTTGTTTGATTAGTCAGTTGGTTGGGTAAATGTGTGGATTGGTTGAGTTAAGGGTTGGTTGGTTGTTTGATTGGTCAGTTGGTTGGGCAGATGTGTTGATTGGTTGAGTTGAGGGTTGGTTGGTTGTTTCATTGGTCAGTTGGTTGTGTAGACATGTTGATTGGTTGAGTTTAGGGTTGGTTGGTTGTTTGATTGGTAAGTTGGTTGGGTAGACATATTGATTGGTTGAGTTGAGGGTTGGTTGGTTGTTTGATTGGTAAGTTGGCTGGGTAGACAGGTTGATTGGTTGAGTTGAGTGTTGGCTGGTTGTTTGATTGGTAAGTTTTTTAGGTAGATGTGTTGGTTGGTTGAGTTTAGGATATGTTGGTTGGTGGGAAAGTTAATTCCCTGCTTGACTGGTTGGTTTTTGCATGAATTGCTTTGTTGATTTGGCTCATAAATGGATGGATTAATAGTAGAGGTTAAACACCAGCAAGGAGATCAGAATTAGAATTTAAAGAGCATTCTTCTTCCCTCTAGCAACATACGGATGTGAATCGTGGACTATCTCCCAGTCTTAAGGAAAGAAAACAGGGGACTTTTGAGCTGAAATGCTAGCATTGATTCTGAGAATATCTTGGACAAAGAAGAGAAGAAATACTGACATTTTAAAAGAACCGATTATCACGGAAGATTGGATAATGAACAGTAACTTGTCTCGGAAGCTGTCATATTTTGTTCATATCAAGCACCATGGTGGATTTTTTAAAATAACAGCAGAAGGTGTGATATCAGGAAGGATGGATTTGGACCAACAAACACAAAGATGAGCTCAGGATATATGTGACTCCTTGAGTATGAAAGTGTATGAGAGACCGAGTTTCTTTCAGGCAGGCCGTAATGAGAGCGACTGTCTGCTACATGATGATGATGATTGTTGTCAGGTTTTATTTTAATGTAATGACATATGAGTGTTAGTCAGCATCTGCCAATTTATTTCCCCTGAAGTTTCCTTCATTATCTTCTTCTTAGCGTTCACCAGCTGTAAACTCCAGCAGAAAGTTCTGGTTGTTTGTCCACTTCTGGACTTTACTCTTGTTCCAGAACTTCAGTTTTGTGTGTGCTTTTACAGATCTGGCTAATTTCTGTGCAGACTGTTGGTTCCTGATATCTCAGGCACATGCAACCTGTACAGGATAGGCATACAAGAATCTGCTGCCTGTGATTGTGGAGCAGAAAGACAGACCCCTGGGCACATACTACAGTACTGCCCTTACCTCTCCCAGCAAAGACTGTGGATCTGGCCCAAGGAAGCCACATTGAAAGAGAAACTATGGGGGACCTTAAACGCACAATCCTATTTGTGACCCAGACGGGACTCAATGTTTAGCATGACTGATGTCGAACGCAGAAGAAGAAGGCACATGCACTTAGACTTTGAAGGAACCACTGATAATTAGTCGACTATTGCCACAGGCTTGTTAGGGGTTAGGGGGTCTGTTCTTTTCTCCCCCTTAATAGGGCTCTGAAACCTTCGCAGACTGGAGTTCCCAACAGTTGACATTTCTGCATATAACATTAACATAACATGGATTTGTTGTTTGAAAATATTTTCAGATAAAAATATGCTCAACCCAGTTTGGAAGAATGAAGTTTTTGTCTTCCATTTATCATGTCCGGACTTGACCTTCATTAGATTTGAGGTTTCTAGTGAGGTCAATGACACATCCTATCTGGGTCAAGCTACTTTTCATTTTAAGAGTATTCGGCAAGGTAAGTCTTGTTGTTGTGAGCATTTTTCTCATTTATGCCAGCCATTTAAAATGTTTTTAATGGTGGTGGTGGGGGAGGTGGTGGTGGTGGTGGTAGTAGCAGCAGCAATAGCAGAAGCAGTAGTAGCAGCAGTAGTAGTAGTAGTAGTAGTAGTAGTAGTAGTAGTAGTAGTAGCAGCAGCAGCAGCAGCAGCAGCAGCAGCAGCAGCAGCAGTAGTAGTAGTAATAGTAGTAGCAGTAGTAGCAGTAGTAGTAGTAGCAGCAGTAGTAGTAGTAGCAGCAGCAGCAGTAGTAGCAGTAGTAGTAGTAGCAGCAGTAGTAGTAGTAGCAGCAGTAGTAGTAGCAGCAGTAGTAGCAGCAGCAGCAGCAGTAGTAGTAGCAGCAGTAGCAGCAATAGTAAGACAGGCATTCGTATCAACTACTTCTAGTATAACGATGGAGATAGCAGCTGTCACAAGGGCACCTGCATAGCTAATGGAACAGAAAAAAACTCATGCATTGATATTGACATTCTCAGTGAGCATGCTTAAGAAGATCCAAACTGGCAGACTGGTTGACAGCAGCGCGAAGTCCCACCTTAAGAAATTGTCTTGGCAGTACACCCAGGAAATGCTGGGGTGAAAGGAAATAAAGGAGCTGACAGACCGGCTGTGTCTGCAGTGGCTGGTTAAGGAAGAAGTATATCAAGGCCAGACATACTGAATGTGCTTCATTCCAGAGACACTGAGATGAAGGAGTCAGAGATGATGAATCGCCTGTTGGAAATGGGTGTTACAGAAGGATGAACTTGCAGAAACAGAAGCTGGTTGCGGGACAGATAAAGAATATATGCCAGTCAGCTGCAACTGGATACAGTAAGCATGAGTTACAGGCAACAAGTAACAAGTAGTAGTAAGCAGTAGTAGCAGTAGTAGTAGTAGTAGTAGTAGTGGTAGTGGCAGTAGTAAATAGTAATAGTAGTAAGTAGTAATATTGGTAACGGTGGCAGAAGTAGAAGTAGTAATAGTCCCTATCCCTCCCCCCTCCCCCCCCCCCCCAAACACACACACACCCTATCTATTTTTAATAAATGCAATCATACCTGGTTCTTCCAAATACTGAGTAGGTGCAAACAGAACCAATTTCATTAGCTAGGCTTGTCTGAGACAAGCAGTCCAATTTAGTGGCTTTTACTGGGACTTGTAACAGACGACATTGTCAGATTATCAGTGTTTTTTGATGAAAGAGTTAATGCTTCTAGGTTTTATAATCTCACTTGAATGGGGAAAGAGTTATCTGTTCTAAGTGTTATAATCTCACTTGGATGGGAAAAAGGTTAATTCTTCTAGGTGTTATCATCTGACTTGGATGGGAAAATGTTATTTCTTCTAGGTGTTGTAATCTCACTGGGATAGTGAAAAGTTTAATTCTTCTAGGTGTTGTAATCCCACTGGGATAGTGAAAAGTTTAATTCTTCTAGGTGTTGTAATTGACTTGGATGATTAAAAAGGTTAATTCTTCTAGGTGATGTTATCTCACTTGGATGAGGAAAAGGTTAATTATTCTGGGTGTTACAATCTCACTTGGATGGTGAAAAGGTTCATTCTTCTAGATCATATAATCTGCCTTGGATGATGAAAGGGTTAATTTTTCTAGATGATATTATATGACTTGGATGGTGAAATGGTTAATTCTTCTAGGTGTTATAATCTGACTTGAATGCCTTTTGCAGGTTATCGTAGTGTACAGCTGCTGAATGCCTACAGCGAGCCGCTGCCTATGTCATCCCTCCTGGTACACATCAACATCAAGAATCCAAAGGTACGTCTTGTTCTGTTGATAAAACACTGTTGAGCCATGATTCACTCTGTGGTGCACTATCTTGTGGTAGGCTTGACACATGTCCAAACCATTTCATCTGTTGTATCTCGATGTAGTTTAATACTGGTTCCATCTCAGCTTGTTTCCTGATATCATCATTTTTGATCCTGTCTTTTCTAATTAAATTTAGGATTCATAATAGACATTTCATTTCTGTTGTTTTGATTTTCTTGTTCCTTTTGTTGTTAATGTCCACGTCTGGCACTGGTAATTCAGTGGTGGTTCAATAGTTTCTGCACTGCTTGGTGGTGAACTGATGTATGACAAGCTGGATGTTGGTGGTGAACTGATGTATGACAAGCTGGATGTTGGTGGTGAACTGATGTATGACAAGCTGGATGTTGGTGGTGAACTGATGTATGACAAGCTGGATGTTGGTTGTAAACTGATGTATGACAAGCTGGATGTTGGTGGTGAACTGATGTATGACAAGCTGGATGTTGGTGATGAACTGATGTATGACAAGCTCGATGTTGGTGATGAACTGATGTATGACAAGCTGGATGTTGGTGGTGAACTCGTGTATGACAAGCTGGATGTTGGTGGTAAACTCGTGTATGACAAGCTGGTTGTTGGTGGTGAACTGATGTATGACAAGCTGGATGTTGGTGGTGAACTGATGTATGACAAGCTGGATGTTGGTAGTGAACTGATGTGTGACAAGCTGGATGTTGGTGGTGAACTGATGTATGACAAGCTGGATGTTGGTGGTGAACTGATGTATGACAAGTTGGATGTTAGTGATGAACTGATGTGTGACAAGCTGAATGTTGGTGATGAACTGATGTATGACGAGCTGGATGTTGGTGGTGAACTGATGTATATGAGCTGGATGTTGGTGGTGAACTGATGTATACGAGCTGGATGTTGGTGGTGAACTGATGTATACGAGCTGGATGTTGGTGGTGAACTGATGTATACGAGCTGGATGTTGGTGGTGAACTGAAGTATGACAAGCTGGATGTTGGTTGTGAACTGATGTATGACAAGCTGGATGTTGGTGGTGAACTGATGTATACAAGCTGGATGTTGGTGATGAACTGATGTATGACAAGCTGGATGTTGGTGATGAACTGATGTATGACAAGCTGGATGTTGGTGATGAACTGATGTATGACAAGCTGGATGTTGGTGGTAAACTGATGTATGACAAGCTGGATATTGGTGGTGAACTGATGTATGACAAGCTGGATGTTGGTGGTGATCTGATGTATGACAAGCTGGATGTTGGTGGTGAACTGATGTATGATGAGCTAGATGTTGGTGGTGAATTGATGCATGACGAGCTGGATGTTGGTGGTGAACTGATGTATGACAAGCTGGATGTTGGTGGTGAACTGATGTATGACAAGCTGGATGTTGGTGGTGATCTGATGTATGACAAGCTGGATGTTGGTGATGATCTGATGTATGACAAGCTGGATGTTGGTGGTGAACTGATGTATACGAGCTGGATGTTGGTGGTGAACTGATGTATGACAAGCTGGATGTTGGTGGTGAACTGATGTATGACAAGCTGGATGTTGGTGGTGAACTGATGTATGACAAGCTGGATGTTGGTGGTGAACTGATGTATGACAAGCTGGATGTTGGTGGTGAACTGATGTATGACAAGCTGGATGTTGGTGGTAAACTGATGTATGACGAGCTGGATGTTGGTGGTGAACTGATGTATGACAAGCTGGATGTTGGTGGTGAACTGATGTATGACAAGCTGGATGTTGGTGGTGAACTGATGTATGACAAGCTGGATGTTGGTGGTGAACTGATGTGTGACAAACTGGATGTTGGTGGTGAACTGATGTATGACAAGTTGGATGTTGGTGATGAACTGATGTGTGACAAGCTGGATGTTGGTGGTGAACTGATGCATGACAAGCTGTATGTTGGTGGTGAACTGATGTATGACAAGCTGGATGTTGGTGGTGAACTGATGTATACAAGCTGGATGTTGTGAGGGCTTTTTGAGATCGAGTGAACAGTGCAGAGGCACAGATAGATCATAACGGTCTGGGAAGAATGGTGCTGCGAGAAGTTTCAAGGAGATCTGGCCAGTGCTGAACACTCAGGGGAAAGGCGAGACAGATATAAATTCAGACAGTTACTGTTGCTCTTAGAATTGGGGAAGATGGGGACGGAGCACTTATAGGGGTGTCCTAAGTGCTGTGATGTTGATTCTTAATTCAACATTCAACACTGCTGTTTAAACATTTTTTGTTTGTAATATTGTATTGAATAGTATTATTTTGGTGTCACTTGTTAGAGGTTTATTTTGCAGTATTGGTGTCATCTGTGCACTGATTTGACTTGCTTTATTTTATCTGTGTTTTGTTTCTGCTTCCATTTTTCATCATATGGTGTTATGCTTCCTAGATATTTGAAGCCTTTTGCTTGTCTGAGTTACAGGTTTTTCTATGCACATCGTAATTGACTGTTCTGCTCTTGCAATGGTCAAACTTCTGGAGGAGTTTTCAAGTGTTAATTTTCATGTTTAGTACTTTTGCTGGTTTGTTTTGAGTTGAGTTGGGTAAAGAATTGACAATACAGCGCTCGGGGCATTTCCATGTGTGCTCTATCCTCATCTTCAGCAGCCAGCGCAGAGTTCTAATACTGATGGTACCGGTCACAATATGGTTATACATCCGTCTTGCCTTTCGTCTCAGTACAGTGAGCCGGCCAGACCCTCTGGTTAACCCACGTGCCTCATTTTCTCCATGTCATAATAATCTTGTTTCTCTACTGATCCCGTGGCTTGTTCTTAAAGGGCCTTGACCACATCTGCCTTGTCATGTATCAATTCCTCACCCAGTGGTGCAGATCCAGCCATTCTGTCTGCCTGTTCATTACCCACTACGCCGGCATGGCTGCTCTGTTTAGATTATCCCACAAACAGTCTTCTTCTTCTTCTTCACTTCCACCATTTACCTCAGCGAGGTGTTGGGGGATGGGGGGGGGGGGGGGGGGGTGGTGTTGTAAAGATCGTTTGTGCGCTTTTTCAAATGCATTGTACGTTCTTATGAGATTTGCTTTGGTTGACAGAGGTATCTTTCTGTGCATCAGAAGCAGTGTTAATTGTCCCATAACCTGATTTGCTTTGGTTGACAGAGGTATCACAAACTCTCACATACTTAATTCAACAGGAGGAGGCAGAGAAGAATTTGTTCCGCATCATTGAAGAAACACGGAAACTCTACATGGAGCTTAGCACGTCTGCCCAGGGGGACAAGAGACGAGACCAGCTTCAGCAGACAGAAAAGAAGCTTCTAGATTATCTGGATCGCAACCAAAATAAAGGGTATCATTGAATATTTTTTTTCATGAATGCTGACAGATTTTATCATGTGGTTGCATAAAATATAGTACTCGCCAATTTAAAACAGGCCAGTGGCAGTAACAGTGTTATAGCACTGCAGTGGAAGTGTATTGTTATATGCATGTGAGACATGGATCATTAGCACACAAGCCACACACAAAAAGAATAATGTAAAGAATGTAGTGGAATCATAGAAAAAAAGGAGGGGTCCTTCTCGAGATAGGTGAAAATTATACACTGATTAGAGATAGTTGACACAGTCAGTATTTTTGGACATATAAAAAGGAATATATTTAATTCTTTCAGGCTTGAGTGTTTTAATTGAAGCGTTCCATTTGCCCAAATCACACAGTCTGCGTTGATCATATGTCCCTACATACTGGTTCGCATTACTGCTTCTTATTCGTTTCTAATGTTCCAAACTACCATACAAATATTCAAGCAAGGTTACTATAACGTTTTTTATTTTGTTTACAAGTGTTTGTTCATACATTTAGGTGCAAATTTATCCGATTAATTGTTAGTGTCATTTTCAGATAGTAAATTATCTGATTTTGTCTTCAACTGGCCATAGACAACAATGTTCCAAACACAATTACAGGCTGCAAAATACACCTTTCTGTGGCTGAACTTCTTAAATTGTTTTGGTCACATGTTTTTAATAATAATGGAAACTTTAATTTTTTGGGAAAGTGATTCACACAGTGAGTTTACACCGGCAGCAGCTTAGCAGTCAGCTGTTCAAGAATTGAGCAATTTCTATGGGCCTGACACAGAGAATCTTTCATTGCTACCGTGTTTTGGGGGTAAGAGAAGGAAAGTGCTCCAAGCAAACAGAAAGACCAAGTCTGGTGACGGTTTGGAAAGAGTCGAGCATGGAGCTTTTTCTACGACCTTAAACACTTTTATACACCGACGGATCATTCTATGGAACATTTTGAAAAAAGGAGGAGCTGGATTGGTCATCATGCTGCTGGATGGGACCACAGTAGAAACATCCTGCACCTCCGGAAGACTCTCAGATAACTTTAAAGCAGCAAGCAATTATTAATGCAGCCAAAGTGCTTGAGGAAAGAAAAATTAAAAACAACAAAATTTTTTTCCTATGTGACTGCTTGTCAGTCCACCAGACGACTTTCATTCTCCAGTGGATCCTGGCTCACTACGGCATATCAGGAAATGAGTTAGCAGACAAGACATTTTTTTAAATGGAACAAAGAAGAAACAACACACACATTCATTGTTGTTACCAGAAATCAAAACACTTATCAAGGGAAAATGCAAGGACTTGTGGAGAGAACAAACCAACAGTAAATATCCACAAGACCCCATCAGCAGACTCAACAGAAAGCAACTTACAACAGTTTTTCATCTACGAACAGGACACTGCAGGCTCAACTATTACATGCATGCCTAAAATAAAGGCTGTACAGTCCCCACAGTGTGCCTGTTAGACAGGACCACAAACACCTAAGCAAATTCTATGCCTACCTACAACTTCGAAAAGACACCTTTCCTCAAGAGCAAAGTGTGCATTGCAAGCTATAGGGAAACCATAAAGGACCTCTATGCGAGTTCATAGAGGCAACACACCTGATGGTCTGACCTGAGCATACGAAACCAAATGCCGTGAAGAAGAAGAACACTTTAGTTTTAATTCCAGAACAACTCCAGGAGTGAACCCTCGACTGGTATCTGAAAGCTCAACTCATCTTGATTGCTTTCTGGCACGGTTTGATGAGGACGTACAGACTTCTCTGCTGGATGCAACAAATACGTATGCCGCATTGAAGAAAACAGAATTATTCTCCTCACAAACATTCTGTCTTTGCCAGCTGGATCAGTCTTCAAAAATATGAGTTGTATAAATTTACTGTAGTGCAGATGGCAATAGGAATCTCCAAAAGACCTAGTAAAAATGATTATTTCTCCACCAGAAATGTTTCCAGTACTAGTTTTTGCTCACAGATCTTCAGTCGGAAGACTCACAGAGCATGTTGAGAAAGGTGAAAACAGGCATGCTTCGTGCTGAGTGGCAAGCATCACCTCAGAGGTGGTGGGTAGTTAGCATCCTTTGGATATTTTCTCCAGGTCATGCCGGTGTGTTTGGAAATGAGCAGCCGGATAGACTGGTTGGCTCTGCACCACTTGATGGTGAATTGATGTATGATAAGGTAGATATTGTGAGGGTCCTTTGGAAGCAAGTGAACAGTGCAGAGGTGCAGATAAATCATTACGGTCTAAGGAGAATGACGCAGCAAGGAGTTGCCAGGGAATATGGATGACACTGAACACTCAGAGGAAGGATGAAATGGATATACAATCAGACAATTACTGGTACCATCGGAATTGGAACTCTTCGCTTGCTGCTAAAGATGGGGATGTATCACTTATGGGAGTGTCCCAAGTGCTGTGATGTTGATTCTTAATTCAACATTCAACATTCAGTCGGAACAGATTTCTCAGCATATTCCAAACAATACTTCATGTGGGAGAACCTGGTGTAGATGGGAGACTGAAAATTAAGCCCTTCATGAACAAGTTGCTTGAAAAATTATAAATGGCTTTCACCACCTACCAAGTTAGTGCTATTGACGAAATGATTGTGGGGTTCAAAGGAAAATGGTAATTTAAGCAATACATCGCCACCAAGCCTTCCAAATACAACATCAAGAGCTCTGGTTTGGTAGACAGTAAAACTGGTTATCTTGTCAATCTGCTGACTTTCTATGGAATCACCACATCCTCCAACCCAACCAATGAGAACAAAGCAGCTACTCCATACAGGTCTTTGACATTCTGCTAAGGTCACTGGGAACTGGATACCATGTTTGTGCAGACTGCTACTACACAACTAGGATGTTCATTGATCATCTTCTCAAACAGAAGCAGCACTACACTGCAACAATACAGTGTAGCCGTGTTCAGCTTCCCGAGTCAAATGACAAACTGCAGCATATTGCATCAGAATATTTCTCTACTTCCACAAGATCAGTGCTCACAGTAAGCATAAGAAAACTAAAAAGGCTGTGTTCCTTATTTCCACCAATGCATCAGCTAAAGAGGGAGTGGCAGTTGGTGGCTAGACACCTGCCTGTGGATCGAAAGGTTGTGGGTTCGCATCCTGACGGAACCGGACTTTTTTCAAAAATGATCTTGACTCCCAGGTCAACCCAGCCTTGAGTGGGTACCCGTGGCTGTCCTGGAAAGTAAAAGAGGCCGGCGTGATGCTGACCACATCACCCATCAATTGCCGATTGGTTTATAAAAATACAGGTCTAGCCCTATATGCCCAATAAACCTAGAGGCATGGAAAGGGTTCTTACTTTTATCAGCTAAAGAAATGACAAGTGCAAATGGCAAGCAGAAGCCTAGTGTCACTGGCACATACAACAACAAGATGAATGGTTGTGAGATTGCTGAACAATGTCTTGGGTACTACAGTCTGCACACTAGTAAAACCAAGCAGTGGTGGGAAAGGTTCTTTCAGTGGATCATGGAAATTTGTTGCATCAATGTGTATGTTCTGTATGAACGAATGAAGGAATAAACTTTGTTTTCAAAGGGTTAAGAATTGGGCACACAGGCCTGTCTTACTTTCTGCCCTTTTTGGCCTCACTGCTTACATACATTATTCAATTCACATATCAATAAGCATAAAACTGATACACGTCTGCATCTAATTCTTTAATCACAGTTCTATGGATATGCTCTAATTATACCTATATTACATTTTGTAAAAATATGGGCACTCTTCCCATATGCCCGATACACCTAAAGGCGTGGAAAGGGATCTTTACTTTTTTTTTTTTTTTACTTTTTTATAGCTAAGCAGGAACCAGCAGTCTGCATTCAATTGAATCAGATCTGTAGAACTGATGCACACGCAACACTTAGGTTCTGGAACAGGACTGCAGTCCAGAAGTGGACAAACAACCAGAACTTTACACCAGAGTGTACAACTGGTGAACGCAGAGAAGAAGAAGATAGCTAAGCTACATTGAAGTCATTTCTGTTACAGTCTGGTTATAACTGTATGAAGTAAATACTTTGTGTGAATAGGTCCATTTTCCTGCCATTTTGTTCAACACTCTGTGAGAATTGAGAGCCTCAGTGATAAACTAGCCCAGAAACTTATCCTAATAATTTTTGAATTTGTCCAGAAATTAAACAAACTTTTAAGTATTAATCTTAAATTTAGATATCATGGTAAATGAAGAATTGTTTTGTAAAATTTTGTCTTTGTAAACAAAAGACTTGCTAAATTCTTATTTTTTTTTCCTACTAACTATAACAGCATTAAACCCCAAAAGAATATCAGATTCACAACGTACATTCGCTCTTCTTTTGCAAAAAATATACTTTTATAGGAATTGGAAATATATTACATTCTCAATTGTCTCTTTTTGTTTTTAACAACCCCTTTTCCTTTTGGTATCTGAAAACAAATGTGAGCCAAGCCTGTCGAAATTCATGGGTCTGAAAGATTTAAGAACTCAGTGACATCTGGCAAGATTATTGGAAAGAGTGCAAATGGAAGACGGAAGAGATTAATACCTAGATGATTCTGGCCACAAAATGGGGTTTGGGGGAGGGGGGGGGGGGGGGGGAAGGGACACTGATCTTATTTGTGATTCTGGTGATCATGCATGATTGCCAACCATGACCACCAACACTTATCGTTGGAACACTTGATGATGATGATGATGGATTATGAGCATTCTATTTTCATTCTTTCATTCGCAGAATTTATTTAATTTAGTTATAAATGTGAAGAAAAGAAAATACTGCTTCTGTTTTATAAATTATTATCAATTCAGTTTACAAGAAATGGTTCTTTCCTTTATTGCTCACATTTTATATGCAACCTTTTTTTTTTTTAATTATCTGTATTTTCCAACAGATATAAAAGAACTTGAAGATGCAAGAACGGAACTAAAAGAGTACAATATCTTGTTTGGTTGTGTTTTTAAATGACTGGACACACAAACTGTGGCCCACAACTGTCATCAGATAAGCTCACTTGCCAGCTTGACTGTCATGAATCTGCAGCATATTCTGGTTCTTGCCTCAGAGGTGCAGCCTGACAGTTTTTCTATTTTGTAACTGTTTCAATTTAAAAAATGAATGATGTGATATTAACTACTCCATCATGTGTCCCAAATATCATGTCACGTGTCATTTTATATTTTAAACTTGGTTGGTGCACACTAAATAAATCTGGCTACCAACCATGTGCTTCAACACTGTCATCGGTATGTTGCCAACAGAGACGCAATCTGGCCTGTTCCAACCACAATGAAGACAAAGCTGTAAGGCAGACAAAGGGATGTGGACTGCACGATAGCTTTCATAAAGGCTACCAGCCTCCTGATGTAAGTTTTCTGACATAAGGATTGAAGAAGAAAAATCTGGCTACCTTGTTGCCAACTTCCATTCTTGGGGTAGCATGCATTTGTTTGGTTTCATTACATTATTTAAAAAATATATATACATCTTCTGGAACCTAAATAGTTAATCTTATCCTCATATTATCTTACTCTTCTCCTGTGAATTAACCCTTTGGAGATGGAGCTTTTTTTTTTGGAGTTTCAGTGCTAAAAAGATTAAGCCTTCATGGAAGAATTCTCCTAGTTTACACACACACACACACAAATTATAAAAAATAATGCGTGTTAAAAACATATACAAAACTATATATATTCGGGGAGGAAAATGAATGAACTAACAGAATATGTATGGCTCAAACTGAAATCTCAATACTTTTAACTATTATGATTTGCATAATTTATGCAGGCGTCTTTTTTTTTTTAATTCGGGATCAAACATGACTAAAATTTGGGTGAATTATTTTTATGGATGAAGCCTGAACTAAGACTTGTGTTTTGGGGAAATAAGGCCCATGGAGGGCCACCAGACATCAGACATTTCTGGCACATGGTTCTACTCATTTTCATGCCTTCTGCTATGTTTGGGTTGCTATGATGCAACAAGCCTTTTCACCCTCGTTGTGTAGTCTAGCCCAAAATAAAAATCACTGTAAAATAACAAAACACATCACACTTTGCGGCGTCCGTGGCTTAGGCGTTGCAAGTCCTACTCGTAATCCAACGTACCGCGATCGTAACCCACTGCTGGCTGCATGGATTTTTATCGTAGTATGGGGTGTCGCAGGTCGACCCAGCCTAAAATTGTTACCAGGATGGCTGTCCTGGGGAAGTAAAGACGGCCGGCGTAATGGTGACCACATAGCCCATCCAGTGCCAACTGGTCTGTAAAAATATGGGACACTCTGCCCATATACCCGATGCGCCTTAGGCGTAAAAAGGGATCTTTACTTTTTACTTTTACTTCTTTACATCACACTTTCTTGAATGCCGTCATTAAACAGCCCACATGTGCAAGAAATGTGAGAAGCAATCTGATTGGCTAGTACGAAAACCTGCCAGCCAATCTCAAGACTTTTATTACACAGGGCTGACAGATCGCCCCAGCCGTCCTTTTGGCTACTTTGCATTGAGCTGATATTTCGGCTGTATCGTCTCCAGAGGGTTAATATCTTCCTCTTATATGTTTGCCTTTCTCTTTTCCCCACTTTCATGCTCTTCATTAGTATTATTGAATTTTCAGGGGGTTTTTCCTGGGTAAATGTAGATATGCACCCAAACACCATCTTTTAAATTTTTTTTTTTTTTTTTTTTTTTTTTTTTTTTTTTTTTTTTTTTGTAATTTAAATTTAACTTAGTTTTATTATTATCAGACAACCATTTTATGGACAGACCAGAGCAAGTTATTCTACGCCTTAAAACAGGACACAATCAACTTCGCAGCCACATGTACACACAATTTAAAATCGGCGAATCAGCCATGTGCATTAGTGATTGGCACCTGAGACAACAGATCATGTCCTCCAAGACTGTCCCAAATACAACATATCAAGGCAAAACTTTTGGCCAAGAGAAACATCGGTGCAAGTCAAACTTTACGGGTCACTGAGTGAATTACAAAAGACAGTGAAATTCATACTAGAGACAACATTGCAGATATAGATAATTTATTTCAAGCAAACAAAAGAAGAAGATCATAATCAGAGCAACAACAACAAACAAAATAAGGGCGTTAAAACAATTCTTGTAAACATCAAATAGCCACCTATTGTTGTAAAAGAAAACTTTTTACTGAAAACAATTTTTTCTTTGAAATGTACTTTATCTCAGTATTTGTTTTCATTTCTAGTTTAATTTTGTATTGACCATCAAATTGTATTATGCTATGACCCTCTCTTCTGTATGTTCACTTCAAAATGTGTTCATTCTTTGATGTAGATTCTTATTTGCAGTCTGTCATGGCACATACAAAACTAAGATAGAATGTACATAGTATTTGATCATTCTCATTTTTTAATCTGGTTAATTTTTCCATTCTCTCAATGTTTCATGTTGAAAGTTCATTTTGTTAATTTTTTCATTCATGGAATCTTATATTCACATTTCATCTGTTTTTGTTTTACAAACACTATTTCCTGTTGTTTTGTTATCAAGAGTTGTGATATTGTTCCATAATACCCTAAAAACATACATTGTTTTTGTATTTACAATGGCTATATTTATTTTTTAACTACCATTTGTATATTAAAATATTTGTATTATTTTATTTCTATAAGACCAAAAAAGATATATGATGATGATTTAAGACAACAGCTTGTTCATCCATAGACCTAATAGTGGACAACCTAATGCCATAGAGACTTACGGATTGTTAAAATATTTCCTATGGGTTATGGATATGTTTTTGATCAAATTTTGTATATTCAAATTGTGTATTATTTCATTTACATGAAACACACAAAAAAGAAATAGATATGAGGATAGACTGAGTGAAATATGTACATCTGAAGATGTAGTCTGCTTTATAATGTGGTGGAAACTTAGGAATTGTTTCAGTCTTTACTGTCGCTGAGTTTTTATTAACATTTATATTATTTCACTTTTGGGGGCTGCCTGGTCTCAAGGCATGGCGTCCACCTCGAGTGCTGGAGGTCCCGGGTTCACGCCCCAGTGAAGACTGGGATTTGTAGTAATTTCCCTTGATCTCTGGGTAGTCAGATCGGACACCTGTGTGTATTGTTACACATGTAAAAAAATCCCTTGACAGTTGGAAATCAAGAATAGTAGCCTAACGCCGCTGCCCGACCATTTTTGGGAGTTTAAAATCTATCAAAAGTATTTTAGGATGCTCGCCGATACTGCACTGAGATTCTTCTGACTCAGGCTTGAGTCAGAAGTAGAATGGAGCACTTATGGGTTGCCCCTTGTGCCATGATGTTGATCCATTGTCTAAACCTAATATTATAAATTTGGCCAAGACCAAAAATAAGATGTAGATATGATGGAAAACAGGCATATGTACAGTGGCATGTCGAGTCATGAACCTAATTCGTTCTTTGACCTAGTTCGCGAACATTTTTCCTCACTAAAATCAGTGCAGATGCAATTAATCTATTTGCCCGAAACATTGTTTTTTTGTAAATGGATTTATGTGTGACAAAAAAATGTAATATAAAATATACAGTATAACTTTACCTGTGAGGTTGACAGTTGCCTGCACTGGTAGACAGTCTAACATAACATAACACTTGACCCCTTTGGGGTCGTATAGGATGTATCAATGGAAGCACTAGTACATAAAGCCCGCTAACTTTCTCTGTCTTCTGCTTGATGAATAACTGTATGATAACTTAGTCCGGTCCATTTCTTGATGTTGTCATTCCAGATTTTCTTCTTTGCCCTCCTCTTCTTTGACTACCCGTAATATTTCTTGAAGTACAGTCTTTGCAATCAAATCATGCCTCATCACGTGCCCAAACCAAGCTAGCTTGCGACGCTTCATCACTGCCAAGAGAGGCTACTGCTGTCCTGTAAATGTGAATATTTTATCTCTGGCATATTTGTTAGTTTTGTATTCTAAATGTTGAATACTGTATTAAGGATCGACATCACATCACTCAGGACACTCCCATAAGTGGTCAGTCCCTTTCTTCAGCAGCAAGCGAAGAGTTCCAATTCTGATAGTACCAGTAACCGTCTGATTGTATATCCATCTCATCCTTTCCCTGAGTGTTGAGCGTCAGCCAGATCCCCTGGTAACTCCTCACAGTGTCATTCTTCTTAGATCGTAATAATTTATCTACCCCTCCGCACTGTTTTCTCGCTCTCAAAGTGCCCCCACAATTTCTAACTTGCCATACATCAAGTCTATCTGCCTGCTCATTTCCCACCACACCGACATACCCTGGAGAAAATATCCAAAGGATGTTAATTACCCTATTCTATTCTAAATAACTAATTAGTAGATGGTATAGGAGGACCATGATGAGGCAGACTAACCCTTCAGAGCAGAGTCCCATTCCATAATAACATTAGAAAACTGTGTGGGTATTTTTGGGTTTTTCCTCTTGTTTGAATCCTGGGAGGTGGTTTGATTGCTGGCTCCGTCTATAACAATAATCTTTCTACTCGTTCTTATACTTGAGACCTGTGCTTCATCAACCCTTTCGCTGCTATGGACGAGATAACTCGTCTGCCCGGCAGACTGCTAAAGACGAGATAACTCGGCTGCAATTTTCTGTGCCCTCACTGCTAAGGACGAGATATCTCGTTCTGGACATTTTTTTACAGATTGCTAAGGACAGTAATTCTTAGGGGTGAAATAGCAATACACATTAACTTAATCTGATCAAACTGACCCGTTTACATACAATTAAAACCCTTATCAAGTGAGTTTAGGCGTATTTAGATGCATTTCACGTTATCCTGTTTCTTTGTTACCATAGAAGCATTGTCGGTGATTGGTAATTTTTTTGCCCTGAAATATATTTCTGGTTTTGCGTTAGTCTAAATTTTTTTTTTTAAATACAAAA